TATATATATATATATATATATATATTTTTTAAACCTAAAAAAGGGGTACCACCCCTGGTGCAAGTGTAGGGACCCATAGCCTCGGAGAAGAAAATAATGAGTACTCAGAGAAGACCTTGTGGATCCTCACTGAACACCTTGATATTGTCTTCTCCTACCACCCCTATTCTTTTAGTATGTGTGTGTATATATTATATATTATATATATATATATATATATATATATATATATATATATATATATATATATATATATATATATATATATATATATATATATAACTGAAAACTCACACCCCAGAAGTGACTCGAACCCATACTCCCAGGAGCCACGCAACTGGTATGTACAAGACGCCTTAATCCACTTGACCATCACGACCGGACATAATGAGGTGATAGCCGAGGCTATTTGAACCACCCCACCGCCGGCACTCGGATAGTAATCTTGGGCATAGCATTTTACCAAATCACCTCATTCTTTGGGGCACACGTGAGGAACACAAATGCGAACAAGCCTGAATGGTCTCCAGGACAATATGCAACTGAAAACTCACACTCCAGAAGTGACTCGAACCCATACTCCTAGGAGCCACGCAACTGGTATGTACAAGACGCCTTAATCCACTTGACCATCACGACCGGACATAATGAGGTGATAGCCGAGGCTATTTGAACCACCCCACCGCGAGTCACTTCTGGGGTGTGAGTTTTCAGTTGCATATTGTCCTGGGGACCATTCAGGCTTGTTCGCATATATATATATATATATATATATATATATATATATATATATATATATATATATATATATATATATATATATATATATATATATATATATATATATATATATATATATATATATATACTATATACTCTATTTAAAATTTCATTACACAAAAAGGGTTACAACATTGGTTACATGCAAGGTACAAGGTTACTTGTCACAAGTTGCATAGCTCCTCCAGCTCCTCAGATGGCGGGCAGGAACCATGGATGCAGTGAGCATTTCCTCTCTGTATCGCCACACTAAGGCGCTGAAAGAGGAAACTGGCGGCTCTAGGTCTCTAGTTGTTTCAATTAGCTTGGAACCCAGCCCCTTCAAAAAACTAGCAGCACTTTTACCCCAGGCACCAAGTTTCTCTGAGGCAATGGGGACAAAATTGTAGTGGTGCTCAAGGTTTGTGTATGTTGACCAGACCACACACTAGAAGGTGAAGGGACGACGACGTCTCGGTCCGTCCTGGACTATTCTCAAGTCGATCCAAAATTTCTGTATTTACGTGAATTGGCTGCTTCCCGGTGATTGGCAGCACTTCCTGCCTGTGCAGCACTGAAGTCAACATAGGTGTTGGCTAAAGTTGAAACGCAAGTGTAGTCCCACACCAACTGTCTACCATTCTTCCAGGGGTTCACCGTGATTCCGTCTGGGCGACCGACAGGCTCATCAGAGTTGCGGGACATTAGGTAACGGGGCTCTCTCTCTGCTGGACAACCGGCTGTGGTAAGGCTTCTCTTAATAATGTCGTTAACCTCGCCGTGTCTTGCATGCCATCCTCCTATCCTTTGGCAGAGAAGGCCATGCCGTCCGTACCTGTCGGCCACTGCCTCGCCACAAATACACCTGTATTCGGTGTGGATTGGGGCAGCGAGGCGGAGAGCCACGGCAATTCGAAGGGCCTGTGGTGTGAGACGGGTGTCTGCAGTTGCTGACATTGGGGTTGCTAATAGGAAGTCCCCTGCATGGGGAGCTGCTACAGCTCTAAGTCGGGCAGTGTAATGTGGTGTTGTTGCAGCTTCTAGCAATGTAGCAGCTTCTTGGTCGGCAATGGGACGATCCCAGTTGGATTGTTTATGGGCTTCAGAGAGCGGTGGTTGGGGTGCTGGTCCTGCGAGAGAGACCCATTTGGTGGTGCAGTCTGCAAAGCTGGGATCATGTACCCCTCACCTAGTTGTACTCACCTAGTTGTGATTGCGGGGGTTGAGCTCTGGCTCTTTGGTCCCTGCCTTTCAACTGTCAATCAACTGGTGTACAGGTTCCTGAGCCTACTGGGCTCTATCATATCTACATTTAAAACTGTGTATGGAGTCAGCCTCCACCACATCACTGCCTAATGTATTCCATTTGTTAACTACTCTAACACTGAAAAAGTTCTTTCTAACGTCCCTGTGGCTCATTTGGGTACTCAGTTTCCACCTGTGTCCCCTTGTTCGCGTACCACCCGTGTTAAACAGTTTATCTATCCTGTCAATTCCTGAGAATTTTGTAGGATATGATCATATCTCCCCTTACTCTTCTGTCTTCCAGTGTCGTGAGGTGCATTTCCCGCAGCCTTTCCTCATAACTCATGCCTCTTAGTTCTGAGACTAGCCTAGTGGCATACCTCTGAACTTTTTCTAGCTTCGCCTTGTGCTTGACAAGGTGCGGGCTCCATGCTGGGGCCACATACTCCAGGATTGGTCTTACGTATGTGGGATACAAGGTTCTGAATAATTACTTACACAGGTTCCTGAAGGCAGTTCTGATGTTAGCCAGCCTCGCATACGCTGCAGATGTTATTCTTTTGATATGGGCTTCAGGAGACAGGTTTGGTGTGATATCAACTCCCAGATCTTTCTCTCTGTCCGTTTCAAGAAGGACTTCCTCCCCCATTCGGTATCCTGTGTCTGGCATTCTGTTTCCACTGCCTAGTTTCATTACCTTACATTTACTCGGGTTGAACCTTAATAGCCATTTGTTGAACCAATCATTCAGTCTGTCTAGGTCATCTGGTAGTCTCATACTATCTTCCTCCGTCTTAATTCTCTTCATAATTTTTGCATCATCAGCAAACAATGAGATGAATAATTTTATACCATCTGGAAGATCATTTACATATATATAAGAAACAGTATGGGTCCAAGAACTGGACCCATACTGGACGTCACCTGTATGGGTCCAGTCCTTGGACCCATACAGTATGGGTCCAGTCCATACAGGACTGGAGTCCCCTGGACGTCACCAGTGGAGTCCCTGCGGGACTCTACTGGTGACGTCTCGCCAATCTGAGACCTCACCCCTCACAGTGACTCACTGTCTTCTGTTACTTAGGTACTCTCTTATCCAATGGAGTACCTTACCTTTCACTCCTGCCTGCATCTCCAGCTTTCGCACTAGTTTCTGGTGTGGAACTGTGTCAAAGGCTTTCTGGCAATCTAAAAATATGCAGTCTGCCCACCCCTCTCTTTCTTGTCTGATGTTTGTTGCCTGATCGTAGAATTCAATTAGTCCTGTGAGGCATGACTTGCCATCCCTGAAACCATGTTGGTGTTGTGACACAAAGTTTCTTCGCTCCAGATGTTCCACTAGCTTTTTTCGCACAATTTTCTCTATTAACTTGCATGGTATGTAAGTTAGGGACACTGGCCTGTAGTTCAGTGCCTCCTGTCTATCCCCCTTCTTGTATATCGGGACTACGTTTGCCATCTTCCAAATTTTTGGCAGTTCACCTGTTACCAGTGATTTGTTATATACACCATGGAGTGGGGCAGGCACAGTGCTTCTGCTCCTTCCTTTAGTATCCATGGTGATATTCCATCCAGGCCTATAGCCTTTGTCACATCTAACTCTAGCAAAAGCTTCCTTACATCCCCACTGGTAATCTCAAATTCCTCTAGTGGTGCCTGGTTAACTATTACTTCCCTTATCTCTGGAACTTCTCCTTGCTCCAATGTGAAAACTTCCTGGAATTTCCTATCGAGTTCCTCGCACACTTCTTTGTCGTTTGTAGTGAATCTCTCTGCCCCTATCCTCAGTTTCATTACCTGTTCCTTCACTGTTGTCTTTCTCCTGATGTGGCTGTGTAGCCTGTTGAACGACTTAATCAAACTAGAAATGCTCTACAAATCAAGGGACCCAGATTGTGGAATGACCTTCCCAACCATGTTGAAGACTGTACCCCTCTCAACCAGTTTAAGATAAAAACGAAGCTATACCTAATAAATTCCCTGTAACCTACCTTACCCCTCTAATGTCTGTTTTTTTTTAAGAGCGCTGTTTGTCGACATAATTGTATTTGTGCTGCTTTTTCAGCTATGTTTTCATTCCATGTTTTCATTTTACTCTTTATGCTCAATTAGTATTAAGCTTTAGTCATTTAAGTTTTTTATGCCCGAAACGCTTTGCGTAATAGTGGCTTTAGGCATTGTGTGTACTAGCCCTAACTATTAATCCATCACTCTTAGTAAAATCTCTTATGTATGTACCTTACCTAATTTTTTTTTAAGTACTCAAGTACTCCTTCGCCAGGTTGTCAGACACCACTGAAGAGGACAATAATATAATATAATATAAATATATATATAAACACGTTGTACTGAACGGGGTGAAAATAGCCTGAGGTGCGTCATCCCTTTGTATTTATACTGTACCTCAATAAACTTATTTCAATTACCAGGTCATGTGCCGGAATTAATGTAATGTACACATGTTCACAGCTAGTTGTATTCACTAGTGAAATGTTTCTTCTATTATAACTTAACTATATTAAAGGAAATAAAAGGTTTATTACAAAAAGGAGTTTAAATCTAAATGCTAAATCAGAAATATTTAAGGAAAGCTCTGACGTCGAAGTTGATGACGTCAGAGTGTAGGGCTGAAGGCCAGTGACGTCAGCGGCGGTGACGTCACTGGCCGCAGGATATGACACCAGACAATTAGCGTCAAGACGCTAAAGAATACTCGCCTTGGTCTACCACATTGACAATAAGTAAACTTCCCTGTAGACTGCAACGTTATAGTAACTGCAAGCAAGTTAACAGCTGTCAAATAACTATAGATAAAGGGTAGACGAGATGGGAAGACCTTTAAGGGTAGACCTTTGTAGACATCAAAGCACATGGGGTGAGGGGGATGGGTCATTCGACAAGCCGCCGGCTTGCCGTCCTCGTCGAGGCCACTAGTGTTAGTGTCTCTCAGGTAAACACAGGTAAATAAAGCCATTGATATATGTTATAGTCACCCTCGTCACCAGAGATCATTTTCTCTGAAGCGTGCAGACGATGCCTCAACTGTTTTGAACCGTCGCCACCTCACTAATTTAATATATACTTGCTTCTTAAGGCTCTCTAAGGTGGTGTAGCGGTCGTCTGTAAGCTCCTGCTTGTGGCCAGGGGGCTGCCTCGCCATACAGTACAAGTTAAGACTCGAGCCATCACTAGGAAAGTCTTTAAGGAAAGCTTTCAAGTAGTGGTGGTCCAAGGCCAGGGAGGCTGGGGGGAGCTTGGTCAAGTGTGTGTGTGTGTGTGTGAACACTCGCGGCTCAGAGTAAACAAACACCTGGCTTGGCTTACCGGGAGGTGGAGGCTTTGTGTGTGTGTGTGTGTGTTTGTGTGAGTGGGAGGAGAGGAGCGACACGGTCACTGGGAGACCCACCGTGGGAGACTGGGACCTGCTCCCACCCACGGCCACGCCGGGGCCTCGCTGGCCACCCACACTTTACAACTAGTTTCTTTTTATTCATTCCTATTCATAATGATAATACTTGTATCATGGTGTTTCATTTTGTAATATCCCTTGCAAAAATATACGATGCATATTGTATAATTATATAGGTTGATTTTCAACCTAAATGGCGCATTTGTTAGTTTATAAATATAATGCGGAAGATGCCAGCGCGTAATATCTGCGGATGTGTCAGGATCTTCGCTGTTTACAAGTAGCGTTACATAGCTGAGTCATGTTAATGACAGACGTCAGGAGATCCTACTAATGGTTCTAAATTAGAATGTAAGAGTGATCACTAATGTATAATATTAGGTGTGCTTAGTGTCGCTAAAACTGACTGGAATGAAGGCATCGGTCAGCCATGTTGAAACGCCTTCTCTGTTTACATGCATCACAATTCTTTACTTTTATAAATATCTATAAATTAGACCAATTAAGTGGCATAAAATACTTTGTTTTGTAACATCATTTACTCACGGATATTGGAAGACGTTCTCATACTCTACCCAAACCAGCTACATTAATTATATTAATAATAATAATTACTGTATTATAATATTAGATTCGACTCACATAGTAGGAAATGTATATGTTTATCTCTCAGAATGTTCGGTAATACATTTATTTTTCAAATACTGTACTTATTTTTAAAGTTGAGGATGGCCATTGGCTTTAACCACGTTTTTCGTGAATTGTACTTGCCGACCGCCCGTACAAAGTGCGAAGACTTTCTCACATCTCTACTCTTGTGTGTCCAGCTTCCACTATTGTCCCCTTGTCCTACTGCTTTTTAATTTAAATAGGATTCCTTTATCCACTTTACCTATTTTTCCTCAAGATCTTATACATAGTTATCATATCCTCGCATTTCTTTTTTCCTTCAAGGTTGAGGCACTTTTTTTAAATCTGCTCTCAAAGTTGAGATCTCCCAATTATGCTATATCTAGTTACAAACCTCTGAACTTTCTCAAGTTTCTTTTTATGCTTCAAAAGGTGTGGTTTCTATGCTGAAGCTGCATACTCAGATAATAGTTTACTTAGGCATTGTGTATGGACTTTAAACCCCTTTTGTTTCATTTTTAAATGTTATGCTTACTAACCTCCGTTGTTGTTGTTATAGATTAAGCTACTCGGAACAAGTTCCAAGTAGCACGGGCTATGGTGAGCCCGTAGTGGACTTACCTGGCACAGGAGCGGTGCTGAGGCTAACCTCCTATATGCTGGTTATATTATCCTGTTCAGACGAGCTTCTGGTGACCTAACCAGGGTTTAAACCTGCATTGTCAGAGCTCAACCCCTGGTATCATACAGTACCAATACCACATCACCAACAATTGCTTATAAGGCTTGGTTCATCCTGAAGCTTACCGAGCTCCATTACCAACCAATCCCAGACAACATGTGTGATGCAATTTGGGCAGTTTTTCATCAATACAAAATAGAACTCGAAACAATGGACATAAATTGGTTAAGTTTAGATTTCGAAAGTCGTGGGTAAATACTGGTTTGCAAACAGGGTTGTTCATTCATGGAACAAATTACAGAATAACATAATATGACGTAGGATTGGTGGATCGTTTCCAGCAGTTTGGATGGTTATAAACAGGAACTGCCTTGTGTATGCCAATAGGCATTCTGTAGTTTCCTTAATTCTTATTCACTTGCACCTTTCAGGCATCATGAAGTGGGGGTGGCCACAGATTAAACCATCCATCACATGGGAAGCCTTCCAGCAGGTGAAGTCAATGGTTTGTATGGGCATAGTGTGTGCTCTGCTAAACAGGTTTATCTTTTAGTTGGCAACATTTTTGAGGGGAAAAGGGAAACTTATTACAAGGGCAGGTCTTGTGCATAGGGAGTGGTGAAGTGTGCTCATACCAACTACAGATTTGAGTCATATTATTTCTGAAAACTAATTTAAATTTTATGTAATATATTGCACTAAGACATTTATATTCTTTCAATTAAGTTTTATAATTACTGTACTATTTACCTGTTGCCCAGCTTACACATTTTTTTGCCATTCTAGGTAGCCAAAAAAACTCACTAACAGGTAAATCTATTTTAATTACACACTATATATAATGTACCACCTGTTCAAGTGATACCATCATGATGTGATTTGGAAAACAATAGTTTGTTTTAATTAAGTTGAAAACAATAATGTTAATTGTAGTTTTATTATATTATCATAATTCTTCTCTGGAGAAAAGTTGCTGGCATGTTTCCACTATCATGACCAGGGTAGAAGAGGGGTACAGACATAAAAATAAATGTTCAATTAATAACAGACATTATCATGCCAGCCAACAGCTTTGAAGATAACAGAGGTGCCACAATACTTAATCAAATTATATGGACTAAGTTCAGTGATCATGGAGACATGTTAAGAAACATTGAATAAGACACACGAAACTATTAGAAAGCTATCTATGTTGGAACTGAAAACAACAGGTACAGGAGTCCTCGATATGACTTAAAGTGTCTGACCAGCTGGAAGCCTTTGATGCCGACTCTTAAGAAGGCCTATATACAGTATGAGGAAATATAAGAATATCTTTAACCTCAATTCACGCTAAAAGAAATGGAGTAGAAGCAGAGCTTGTAGGAATAGAAAGCAAGGAGGTTGTGAGGTGTTTACTGTGGCACTGAAGCAGACTAGTAGAGACCACAGATTCCTGGAGAGTAGCCTTTTCTCCTAGCTCCAGATAATTTACCTCATAGTGCCTGGTTAGGAACTAGATTTGGGTTACCTCTATATATACTTGATCATGATCCAGACAGAATGAAATGTCAATACTTTTCAGATTCGTGGGTTGGGTATAAGATGAGTTGAAACTTGATGTGGCTAGAAGGCTCCATGAAGGAGTAGTAGTGCCAATCATTATGTACAGCTGCAAGAAGATGGTGTGGTACGAAGATACAAAATTAGTAGTATAGCATGCATGGATAATCTGAGAAGCATGTTAAGAGTACATAATAAAAATGATATCTAAAGATGTAGAATGCAAAAATCAATAACAGTAAGATTGAGGAAAGCGTACTGAGAGGGTCTGTGTATGTTGAAACAATTGTTGATAGTTGACTGCTGGAGAGTGCATTCAAGTGCAGGAGGAGGAGAGAAAAATCTGAAAGAAGGTTTGCAGACAAGGAAGAATAGAAGGAAGTAAAGAGCACAAATAATGCACAAGATATGGTAAAGGACATGGCTGGGTGGAAGCAGTTTGTAAAAAAAAAAAAAAAAGAGTGAATGCATCTGTATGTACTGTACAGGACAATTCTTGTGTAGTTATGAGGGTGCTGCTACGTAATGTAATGATATAATGAATGAACAAGTGAAATTATATATTTTTTTATACATGTAGGCTACTCTCGCCATAGTACATATTCACTATCTCCAAGTCAATGTATCCACACCACAGGAAAATGGAAAATGGGTTAATGATAATGTATGTATATACAGGATTTAAATGGTCTCTTGACTTGCATATCTGTATAAAGATTGTAACATTTGACAGACTCATGTATTTGGTATAGAAGTCAATCACCAAATACAACAGACCAACTTATTACTTATATATATCAAGTGAGTAAATACTCCTCAACCCTTCCGTGACCAAACTCCTTACATTTCAGCATGTGGTGCCCGAGTCTAACACACAAGTCCATGCTTTGATAACAGCACAACTCGAGAGCTTTTGCAATTGTCTCTATTAGTGGTCTCTTCGAGTTTGTAGTCCTATACTACTGTATATGTACACAACATTAATTTGTGTGTTTATCTACGTATCCTTGACCGGTTCCTGGAATTTATTGGCAAGTCAAACAGTTCATTATCACCATTACTATCAGGTCCAGCATTTTTCTGCATAGTTCTTTCATCAAGCATTCGCGTTACATCTGGATTCTCTTCAAACCATGCATTACGTAGTGGGTTCTCTGCAACGTCATGTGCAACCAGATCCCTGCCTCCTATGATTCTTGGCAATGATGTCATTTCACTTATATTCTGAAAAAAAATGTAAAGGCATAAAATTATGTACTGTAAGAGCTCGCTAATCTGGACCCATTAACGTGGACCTTTGGGTAATCCAGACAAAATCCGGGTTACTGAGAGATCAGCCAGGGTTACGGAACAACATTGGAAGACCTATGCTCACCAGAAGAACCCTCAGCAGCTGGCAGTCAAAACTGACCATGTAAGTTGATGTACCACATCAATTTATCACAATGATGTACCACAACTTTTTGTACCACAACTAACATAATTCATATTTCCATATACTTTATTGTATGTGGAAATATGAATATTTCCACATACAATACAGTATGTGGAAATATGAATTATGTTGGTTGTGGTACAAAAATATTGTGAATGTGCTCATTTTTGGACCTTCCCAGTAAGAATTCCTGCTAATCTGGATGTCTAGCGAACTCAAGAGATGGGGGGTGGGTACATATGATTTACATTAGCGAGCATTGTAAGTACAACAAAAATTTGAGTCAATCGACATTATGTCTCACATAGCTGAAAATAAAATACAGTATTATGTACTCTCACTAGGCAGCCCACAAAATCCATTTTAAAGAAGTGAACCTACAATAACTGTAAGAAAGACGATCTAGATGAGACATGGCCACAACACACAAGATACTGAGACAAACTGAACAAGGAAAGACTTTTCAAAATTAGAAGTGAGATTAGAAGCTACACAAGAAAAACGTGAAACACAATGCCGAAAGTTGTCAGCGAGGTCTGGGACAGTAAGTCAACAAAAACTACCTGGCGAACAACTGACACGGTGGGCATCCGGAACGAACACAAGATATGAACATTTACTCTACTCAAAAATCGAGGATTAACTAGAGCATGGGAGGTCTTCCTTTAGTCACAACCTGCAAGGATGGGCAACAAAAATCATACACCTGTCCAACAGTTCTGCAAATGTGGGTATAAGAGTAGTAGACAGCTACTCATGGACCAGGGAACAACAGGAGGCTGTGGGAACCATGCCCAAACTAGACTAAGTAACAATGCACTTATCCCAAGCAATGCCATTCCATGCCCTTCACAAGTCCTTCAGACATCCATCCACTACCCTATCACTGGGGCCACAATGAAAGGCCTGACAAGGATCAACGACACTGTTTTGCAGGGATCTCCTAATATCGGTAAAACTTTCCCCCACCGACATAAGACTGGCAGATAGAATGCAATTTCCATCCAAAAACAAAGATTTGCCAGCTAGCCAGGAAGTGGAAGGATCAGGTATTGCATCCAAGAAGAAACAGGAACCAAACCGAAGACAAAAAGGGCCAGTTTAAATATGAGATCTGCATTCATGACCCGGAACAACAGATATTGTATGGTCTGGACAGGAGAAAGGTGGTACTGACATAACATGTTAAGTTAAAGTTCTTCCATATGTAAGACAAAAACCAAACCCAGGAAGGAAAAAGAGATGACATCAAACCTAAACTGGAACGGAGGGTAATGCTTCAACTCAACCTGAATGAAGGTTCCAAACAGCCTGGCCCCCAAACCCTAAGAAGGTTCAAAAGGGAACTAGAAAGTCTCTGGCTAAACACTGCCTTTCAGGGTAAAAGGACTGTTCTTGGAAACCTGTCCTGCAACTACATTCTAACTTGAAACAATAGCCCAAGTCAAATAGACTTCCCAAAGTGCACTGACTCGCCAGGTGAAGGTAAGACAAGCTTCCGTAGGCAAAGAAGTGAAGAGCCAGCAAAAAAACCCAAGAATTAGGTCCACACCTCTGAAATCAACCTTAGGGAGATATGAAGACCCTAGAACTGCAGCTTAGACACTGCAAGCAAAGTAGGAAGCTGGGTAGCTGGCAACTACAAAGCACCCGAAGAGACAGAGATAGTAGCCAATAGAAAGAACAGAGACCATATTATATCCAAAACATTGAAGCTTGAGACAAGTCCCTAGGTGCCACCCGGGAAGTGAAGCAACTCATGAGGAGTCGCACCAGTGACAGAAAACATTTCCAGCTAGATAACTAAGTTTAGTTGCTGGCTCCTCTGACCCATTTTGGTGTAGAGACAGCCATCTGGTGATTAGGGTAGCAGAAAATTGCCTATTGTATTGCTAGCCGAGTAAAAATTTATGCTAAATTTCAGTTATAGTTTTGAGTGGGTTTAAGTACTGTAATGGCTATTCTTTTTTCTGATAGTGAGTTGGGCAAATTTGATTCACAACTGTCTCATTTTTTTGCCCAAACTACATGACCTGACACTTTGCAATGTTATTGGTTATTGTAGGTACACAAATCCTTAAAGCCTGGCAGGCAGAGCATGTCTCTGTGAATCTATATAAACCAAAGGAACAACTGAGGAGCCTTAGTTTGGGAAAGGCAAAATCAATAAATTAACCCACAACCAGAAATTAATATGTAACACACAGTATAGCATAAGCACTTCATTAAATAAATGAATACTGAGAAATTTAAATACTGTACAAAACTCTGAACTAAAGTAACATTAATTTTAACCAGTTTGTACATATTGTGGATACATGGTGGAATGAAAGTTCATGTAAACATAACTAACTTAATCCATAAAATAAATTAGGTACTGAAAACAGATAACATACGGTTTAAAAATTACCTTTCTAAATCTCTTGTAATTTTTAAGGCTATCAGAGCTCTGATTGTATGAGGGTGTAGGAACTGGTCGGTTATTTCGTCTCACAAGAGAAACCACTTCTAAGACCATTAAGGATTTCTCCAACATGCCACTGAGCTCAGCAACATCTCCAGGTTTCATCGTCAGTGGAGGAGGCATGCCAGTTTTAGCGGCTGTTTCTAAATCGCTTGGACTTCGTTTAATGGAACAATCTTTCTGCAATGTCAAATGTCAAATGAAGAAAACAACTGTCATGGATCACTGTCTTGATGTAATAAAATAATAATAACAGTTTGCAAAACAGTTTGAGGTAGAGGACTGAGGTATTCTACTTATTACACTTTTAAAATTTAAAGTATATCATCACAATCATTCATCATACAGGCACTACAAGCATTGCTCTGTCTTACAATATACAGATTTTTATCTCTCTTTATGAATATTTTATTCCATACTTAATCTATTCTTCTGACACCATACATGTTTCTCGGCGTGTTAATGTCTGTGTTAATACTGCCTTATTGTTTATGTGTCGAGCTTATACAACACCAGTTTGACACAGGTGCATGAGGGTAGAAACTACCCAGCTACGTCATGCAGCACTCTGGTCACATCTACCTTTGCTTCCTCCGCTGTATCAGCCACTTGGTGCCCAACCACTTGGACTGCTTGGTACAGCGATGGCCTCACTTATTGTAGGTTGGTGTTCGATTTCCGATGGTCCAAGTGGTTGGGTGCTGTTCTTTCCCTCCATCCTATCCCAGATCCTTGTACTCATTTCCCTTCCAAGTGCTGCATCCTTCCCTCCGTCCCATCTAAGATCCTTGTCCTCGTATCCCTTCCAAGTGCTACATTGTCATACTGACTTAACACTTTCTCCTGATAATTACCTCATCTTACCTGTACCAGCCACTCCTCATCCAACTCACTAAAGTCTCAACTACACTTACACAAATTCCTTTTCATACATTACACATCTAAAGTATTTAAACTTATCAACAACTTCTACCACTTATCCATTCACACTAAAACACTGTGAATAAGGCTCTTAAACTAATCTATATAAATATCTTCAATTACTACATAAAAATTACAGCTACTTCAGTTAGTCGAAGTTACTTCAATTACTACAATCATATCCACTTAACATACACACATACAATCACCTCCTTTATGACCACATCCATATATTGTACATATGTACCCTATTTCCTCAACTATAAAGAATATTTATTTTTTGATAAACATTGCAAAGATGTGGGTGTGTGACTTTATACATTACCAGGGGTAAGCAAACATCACAAAAATTCCTTACACCATTAACTCTACCACTGACTTTAAAAATGTTCAATAATTAACCAACTACACTATCTTAAATTTAATTAGTGAGTTACTGCTGCTATTTCTACTATGTATATCTTTTATTTGCAATAAAATATGATTGCATAAATCCAGTGTAAATTTTCATGAGGAAGTTGGAGTGGTGTTGATACAGAGCACAGCGTGCCCGGGGTGTGTGGCTGGTGACCTTGATACCCCCCCCCCCACTATGATACTATGTTTTCCATTCCTTTGTTTAGAAAATTAATTTTGTAAAGGGACATGAAGCCTGTGTATATATGTAAGCTTTATGGCCTGAATCGAGGTCCCTCCAAGGTAAAAAATACCAACCCCTCCCCAGGATACAACTCCACAGTAGTTGCCTAACTCCTGGGTGAACAATACATTAGGTGAAAGGAAACGTGCCTAAACATTTCTGTCCCGCCCAGGAATCGAACCCGGGATAACAGATGGTGAATTGAGAACGAGGCCAACTGTATTACAAGACCCTTTATGAGACCCTATGCTACTGGTGTGGGAAAACCTCTTGGATGATTAACTTGACCATTATTGTTTATTATCTCTAATATAAATAGATTTTTATTTGATAATTTAAAAAAGTGTATAGATCTCTGTACAAAATAAATAAATAAATAAATATATACTGTACTGTATATATATACAGTACACAAAAGGAACAATTATAATGATAATACCAAACTTGGGAATACAAACACAGGGAGAGAAAAGTAATTGACAGGATGAGGAAGGGTAAGACGGGGAAGAAGAGGAAGAAGAGATAGGAGAGGGAGTGAAGGAAGAGGGAAGCAAAGGAGAATTATAGGAGAAAAAGGGGATACTTTTTTTTTTTAACAAGGTAGGGTACAGGAGGGGACAACTTCTAACTCTTGTTAACAGGCTTAAAACTCTCCCCCTTACAATTGGTTTAAAACCAAGTCTCTAATTGCTGAAGGGATGAACAGGAGTAAACAGTTAGGATTGGTGACCTGTCAACCTTCCGTGTCAATGGCTTGAGTGAGGCTGAAAATGCTTGGGAGGGTGGTGCGAGAGTGCTACCACTGTACTACAGGAACATTCTCAGTGTTCAGTTTATTCAAGTAAATCTAATATTTTAAAAACATTTGAAAATGTAGGATTTTGTTATTATTAGACAGCATTACTCTAAGTAAATTCTTACTATACATTGTAACTGTATCAAGATAACAATTGTAATTCACACAGCAATTCTATGTGAATGATCCAATAAAATTTGCCAATCCAAAATTATAGGTTAATTATATTTTGCTGCAGGAGTATACATATATGTAAATTATATTTATACATGCTTAACACTGAAACATAAAACCTGAGTAAAGTACTTACCTTTGATATAAAATTGCTAGTATTTGTTATAATCACATTTTGTTGACCCTGCTGTACATTGGCCTCAGAAGGATTGTTAACTAAGGATGTGGTTGCCTTCTCTGACTCTATCCGACTGCTAACAGGAGGCACTTGTGTATCTTCGGCCATCTTTTCAAGTTGCCGTCTCCTGCGCTCTGACCGAGAGGATGCTGGTAAGGCAAAGAGTTCTGCATCTGGAACAGGTTCTCTAGTACTCTTACTTATACCTGTAACAGATGCTGCTGCAGGGCTCTGAAATTAACAAAACTACTGTTGTCTTTTTCACACGGTGTTTAGCAATACATCTAAAGACAAACCAGCGTTGAATGTAATGAAACGCCATTTTTTGGGAGTCCTGGAGACTTCCCGGAGCTTACCAAGCTGACATGTATGTATTAGACTGTGGCATCAGTCACTTCGATGTAGTTCTAGCCTACTGGGGACCACGAGCCAGAAACTGGCCCCTCTCAGAAAGGCACGAGGAGCAATAGCCTATAGAAACCCCAATGTGGTTGGAAGCATTCTTTGTCTGCGATCTACCGGGTCAGGCACCCAGAAAGGTAGGCGTCTCAAACAAGCTACACCTGGTTAAAAATTGTGACCGAAACCAAACTAGCAAGCAAAACTCCCCAAACTGAAAACAAGCATATCATCATCATTGCCGCTGTGCTACTGTCTGCACAGCTCCTCCCAACCCGGGAGGGAAAGAAGGAGCCCCAGACCACCCCCCCCCCCCGTGCCCGCTATCTAACCCCAGTTCAGAGGCTAAATGTAAAAAATATGAAAATTGCCGACGTGAGGGAGAGAGGGTTGCTGGGGGAGCCTCCGGGACTCACCCAGAAAATGGCGTTTCATTACATTCAATGCTGGTTTTCTGCGGAGTCCCTCTGGCTTCCCGGAGCTACCTAACCAAAGATAAGAAAAAGAGGGACTTACCCGGGAGGCGGTCGCCACTTGCTCCTCAAATCGAAGTCGAGACAACTGGCTGCAACCTGCGACCCAAGGCTACAAATGCCCGAGTAGGGACAGGAACATTAACAAGGTACTGTGCGACCAGGACCCTGTTCAATCGCCAAAAGCTCCGTGCCCAGTTACCAAAAATGTAACCAGAATGTCAGCCCATGTTACCAAAAACAGCAGCCAAAGCTGCGAACTTACGAACGTCGTGGGCACAGGGATAGACTGCAGGCTGGCTGGACCGAATAACCCTGCAAACGACCTGGGAGACCCCATGCACTGAAACAGGGAAGAAGGGAAACCAGGTCCACCCAAAGCGTGTCCCCAGCTACCCAGGCCGTGGCACGCATGTAACGGCGAAGAGCCACAACCAAACATAATACTGTACGTGATGCACTCCCAGCCGAACCAACCAAGCACCAGTAACCCAAAAACCCCTCTGGAAAGCAGCAGTCACATTCTTCACCAGAAAAGGAGACAGCTGCAAACAAACCAACCACCAAGACCAAAAGACCAGAAACCCCTGCACCGTAGGTGAGCATGAAGCTCCCTGACTTGACCCTCAGATGCCAATGCCAACAAAAAAAGAGCCTTAGAAAAACAATCCTGAATTAAAGGGGCCACCACAAACCGAGGACTCAGAAGTAGGGACTCGGAAGACATATCCATAGCAGCACGGAGCCCCAATGAAGCCAACATAATATTTATAAAATATAAAATATAATATAAAATTTATAAAACATTTATGATCAGATTCAATGAACTAAAAGAATGTTTATAATGGGAAAAGAAGTTTGCCAAGGCAAATAAGATTGATATGGGAAGATTGGGCTGCAGAATTTGACTATAAAACTATAAAGACAAAAATAGACATAATAATGACAATAATTTTATAAAACATTTGGCTACTGTTTTACTGTGGCTAATGACAAAGAGAGATAAAACCAAAGATTATTATAAATAGTAGTAGATAAACATGTGAACTGTCTCCAATATTTTATTACAGATAGTGGCTGGAAAATTCACAAATAGTATAAAGCCATGAGAAGACCAGCACCTTTATTACACATACTTTATAATCAGCAATTACGTTTATGTGGACAACATGGCAGTCATATTAAATAATAAATTAAAGGTAAATTGTCATACCTGACAATTTTCTCTCCTCCGTCTTCTTGCACTGGATGTTGGAAGGGAGAAAAGGTCTTCGTCGTTTGCCAGTTCCTGCTTCACACTGTGTATGGGAGTTTTTGCTCTTTGCTCTACATGACCTGACATGCCGACATCACCACTAGATCTCTCTGTCTTGACAAAGTCACTGTTATCATTACCCATTCTCCTTTTTTTACCCCCATGAAACGGAAAGTTATTTTCATTTTTAATAGGGCCTATTTCCTGACCCGCTCTTCTTTTCACCCGCTGGCAATCCGTGACATCAAATAAACTTTCATTTGCATCAACACTGGGAAGCTCTTCTTTAACAGGAGCAAAGGATTGGGTTGACACTTCATGATGATTCTGAGTCTCTGCAGTTAAGCTAGGAAGAGTGTAAGGTACAAATGGGACAGATTTCACACCTGCATGATCATTGAGTTTGTCGTGGCTTTCAATGGTGGTGGTGGTGGTGGTATTATTTAGTACACGACTCACAGCTGTCCTACCATTTGTGCCATTTTGATACCGTGGTGTACAGAAGATGATGAGGTAATAGGGGTTGAATTCACATTTTTCTGGGTGCTGAAATTGCGTGGCTCAAAACTTGAGACTAATTGAGAGTCTGACTGGGAGTCAATACCATCAATCTGTAAAGAACTAATTATTCTTAATAATAAATATTAAATAGAATGGTTATTTAAAAAAGCAAATTAGTTTTCAAAAATGAGGATGCATAATACATTTAGAGATAAATTTTAACATTAGACGAACTCCCCATAAATGCACCCATACATCACTGTGTCTGTGTATAATATACACAGCACATGCGTGTGGATGTGTACTAACCTAGTTGTGGTTGCGGGGGTTGAGCTCTGGCTCTTTGGTCCCGCCTCTCAACCGTCAATCAACAGGTGTACAGGTTCCTGAGCCTATTGGGCTCTATCATATCTACACTTGAAACTGTGTATGGAGTCAGCCTCCACCACATCACTTCCTAATGCATTCCATTTGTCAACCACTCTGACACTAAAAAAGTTCTTTCTAATATCTCTGTGGCTCATTTGGGCACTCAGTTTCCACCTGTGTCCCCTAGTGCGTGTGCCCCTTGTGTTAAACAGCCTGTCTTTATCAACCCTGTCGATTCCCTTGAGGATCTTGAATGTGGTGATCATGTCCCCCCTAACTCTTCTGTCTTCCAACGAAGTGAGGTTTAATTCCCGTAGTTTCTCCTCGTAGCTCATACCTCTCAGCTCGGGTACTAGTCTGGTGGCAAACCTTTGAACCTTTTCCATTTTAGTCTTATGCTCGACAAGATATGGACTCCATGCTGGTGCCGCTTACTCCAGGATTGGTCTGACATATTGTGTGCGTGCGTGCGTGTGTGTGTGTGTGTGTGTGTGTGTGTGTGTGTGTGTGTGTGTGTGTGTGTGTGTGTGTGTGTGTGTGTTTGTTTGTAGTTACCAAAGTGTAGTTACAAGATGAGAGCTACACTCGTTGTGTCCCATCCTCCCAGTACTTTTAATCATGTAATGCTTTGAAATTTACTGATGGATTCGGCCTCCACCACTTTTTCATGTACCTTGTTCTAACTGTCTACCACTGTTTGCAAAAGTGAACTCTCATTTTTTTTAGCAGCTTTATTTCCTTAATTTGAACTTATGTCCTCTTTATTCTTGATGTTGCAGTTTCCCAAATTTCTTCTTTGTCAATTTTGTCAATTCCATATCATATCACATCTTTTTCTTCTATCATCTAGCTTTAGCATACTTAATGCCTCTAAGCTCTCCTTGTAGCTCTTGTTTTTCAGTTCCAGAAGCCAATTAGTTGCATATTTTTGCACTTTTTCTAGTTTAGTGATGTGCTTCTTGTATATGGGTACCACAAAACCGTTGCATATTCCAACTTTGGTCTCACAAAAGGTTGTGAATAATTTCTTTGATATTTCGCCATCCATATTTAAAAGTGATTCTTAATTCAAGCTGGAAAGCCTAGAATGCGCTCCTCGCACAATGTTTTTATGTGATCCTCAGAGACAATTTTTTTTGTTATCCAGAACCACCCCTAGATATTGTTCTTTATCAGAGTTCTTTAACGATTTTTCACATAATTTGTATGTTGTGTGTAGCCTACCTTCTCCTGTTCCACATTCCATAATGTGACATTTATTCATATTAAAATCCCTTTGCCAAGTTTCTCCATATACTGATATACTTATTTTGTAGGTCTTCTTGAAGGGCATGACAATCGTCTAAGTTTCTTAATTCTGTAGTAGTTTGGCATCATGCTTGTAAAAGACTTTTACCTAACAGCAAGTCTTTCCAATCAAATTCACTAAAGAACTTTCTAAGTTCCCCACAGTATCCTCTCCTGAAATCAGGTTTGTCAACTGCTTCCTTTTCCTCTTTCTCTTCTAGATTATAATGCATTGCATTCTTTATTTCCAAAAGGACATGGTCGCTTTTGTCCAAAGGAGGAAGGAAGGTACTGAATACCAAATATATCTTCTTCTTTCCTGGTGAATATCAAATACCATTGAAAGAACATCCCCTTACCTCATTCTCGTAGCTTGTTTAACGTGTTAAACAAGCACATGATGAATGGTACATGAATGTCTCCAGGATGAGGTTTACAAATCTACCAGTCCAAAAGTCCTTTATTCTGGCCTCCCAGTCTATGGATTGCAAGTTGAAGTCACCGAGTACAACACAACAGTTATTGTGATTTCATTTTTACTGCTCTTACTATAATCTCACGATTGCTATGAGCCCTCTGATTTGTTGTCTAGCTCCTTCTTTGTCCATGTGGTGCATGCCAGTGGGCTGTAGGCATTTATGATTATCAGTTTGTCATCTGGATTACAAATCTCTAGTGCTATTATGTCAATTTCTCATGGGTTGGCAAATACTAATTTGTTTACCTTTAGGTGTTCTTTCACCAGTATGACAACGCCTCCACATTTCCTAATTTTTCTGTCCCATCTCCGTCTCACTATACCCCCTCGGGAATACGACCTAATTTAAAATATTAACTTCCAGTTTCGTCTCTGTTAGTGCAACAATCTCTGGCTTCTCGAGCTGTAATATATTGTTAACTCTAGTATTTTTTTACATCTGTGTTAGTATATACAATTTTCAGGAACATGTTCCCTCTTCCTTTGTTCTTTACCCCACTTTCTCTAGTGATTTTGGTGGTTTGCCTTTTGTACCAATTCAAAGACTTTCTTAAAAAAGAAAATCACCTTGTAGAAAAAAAGAATTGACCTCTTTTTTGTTACTGAACTCATTTAGGAGTTTTGATTCAACAAGGTTCAGTTCCAGCTTCTCTCTTTTTTTCCTCTGAAAGACCCCATCTTAATGACCATAATTTTCCCTCCTGACAACTTTTTTTTTTTTTTATGTTGGATTTCCTTGTCTAACTTATTGTATTCACTCTTGTTTAGTGATTAAGAGCTTTAATTTCTTCAAAAGCTGTTTTCAGTACTTTATTTTACTTCCTCCAGGGCTTTGCTTTAAGCTTCCCAGTAATTCTCGTCTTTGCATAAATCCTTCATTTATCCCTCAAGACTTAATACTTTACTACTCAATTGGTTATTACCCTCTCAAATTCTAAGTTATTTCCACATGACAGTTTACAATAATCTCTAATTTTGCCAACTTATTGTGCAAACCACTCATACTAATACTGTCCCAATTAAAGCCACTGAAATCCAGCTCTGATGATGTTTTTTCGTCTTGCCGACAGCCATTTTGGATATCGTAGTCTGCAACTGTTTACTCATCCAGTTTTTTTACTCACTCTTGCACATTTTCCTTTATCTTGGTTGTTTTTCAAATTCACTTCACATTAAAATCTCCAGACACACCACTCTGGGTCATCAACCTGTTCTACAATACTGTACTTAAGACATTTGAATTATCCTGGCACTCCTCTGATGCAGGTGTCTGCTGCTGCTGCTGAGAGTAGTGTGGTGGTGGGCAGGTGGGTGGGTGTGTGTGAATGAGTGACCATTTGTACGAGTGGACGACTGACCATTCTGTGTGAATGACAGTTATATAATGTGCATGATATACAGTATATCCATTTACCCAATATGTGGAATATATCTTATAAAAAGAGCTAAGAGACCCCCACTGCCCCTCCCCCCCAAAAAAAAAACATACATTACCTGTGATTCCATAGGTTGTGTAGGATCTGGAGTACCCAAGTGTCTCTCGTCTGTGATGAGTTTATTACTGCGTTTTGGTAAAGGTGCAGTTTCTTGATCACACTGTGGTCTTTGCCTGAATAGCAAATATAAAAAAGAATACAGAAGATGCAGAAACATTTTCACAATCCTCCCTTTTCCACTATTACATAAATACATACACACACACATTTATATATATGAAGGCAAACAGCATGAGTGAAGTACTGTACTATGGAGGCATAATTCTATTAAGTGTAGTAGCCAAAAGAGTGATGGCAAGAGCAGAGAAAGTAACTGAGAATGTAGTCAATGATGATAACAAGGAAGCTTGTTTAGTTAAGAGAAGGTTGTTTGAATGGGTACTTGAATATCATATATGTACCATATGATGAAATAAACACAGGGTTTCTGAAGAGCATTGAGAACATGTAGATTTGGTGGAATGATGTTAGATTCTGTAAAACCCTTTTATGCAGTAGAGAATGCGAGAGAGCTAATTGTTTGACATTAACAGAATTCCGGGTTAGGTCAGTAATTCGACCTTGGGGGGGGGGGGGGGGGGGGAGACCTCGATATAAGCCTAACGTATATGAGTATGTATGTATGTATGTATGTATGGGGACATGAGGCAGCTAAAGCTAAGAATACTAAGGAAGACTGAATTTAGTACATAAATAAATAAAATTAATCATATTTGATGAATGCTGATGATGTAATTCTTCAAGCAGAAAATTGTAGAGATATTGGCAATGTTCATTACTTGAAAATTTTGCTATTGTATGTTGAGAAATGGATACATTATTCCCGAGGAAGAGTGACAGCTGTAAAGGAATTGCCAAGATATTTAAACTGACAATTGTCTATTCACCGTATCTTATACAATACACAGCATCAGGAATAAATACGCACCACTAATTCTCAAGCAACTTATTCACAGCAGCACCCGACCTCTTCATGAGACTATTTGTACAGTGCTCTGCGAATTATCATGTGCAAACAAAGGTCACTTTTTTTTTATACAAAAGTGGCCACCTAACTGTTTTTACACATGCCTTGTGTTATTCAAATTCAATCCCCGCTTCCTAACACTCACACCATCTCTACCCATTTTAAGTCTTCCTAACCTCCTACCCACATATTCACATGAAAACTTTCGATCATCATCTATTCATTCAATGTGACCTAACCACAGTCATTTATTTTTCTTATTCTTGCAATGTATTGGCTCCATTCTCATGACTTCTTCATTCCTTACTCTATCCACTGTAACACAACACATGATTCACTAATTTTAATTTTTCTTCTACTCTAATTCTTGAGTTTTAACATTCATGCCATCCAGTCATGGAGGTCATCACTATCACTCTTTCTTGAAGACTTCTGCCTGTATTTCTTCTTAATCAGTGCTTTGAATGCACCAGTTACTTTCCTGTTACTACTACTCACTCTACCCCCAACTTTGTTTCTCACATTTACCTTTTGTTAATTACACATCCCAGATATTAAATTGATTACCAGCATCTAGCATTCTCCAGTCACACAATGAATTCCTTTCTCTCTACTCCACCATAACTTTACTCATGTCCACATTTACTCAAAGCTGCCACCTTCTCTCATCTGAATCAAGTGAACAAGAGACTGAGAGTGAGAGAAAAAAGAAAACTTGGAATCTGAAGCAGGTGAAGAGAAGTCAGAGAAATGGTTGATCAATTTCAATACCTGGGAGGTCTGTAACAAATGAGGGATTTGTGCAGCCAAAGTTGAGAGTAAGTTAGGGAAGGAAAGTGGCTGGTGTAATGACAGTCTTGGCTAAAATGAAAAACTTTTTAAAGGAGATGCAACTAGATTTATTGAAGAGATTGTATTCATAAATATACAGGCATTTTATATTTAGAATTGTTAAATGCAAGCATCAAATTACAATTGTGCTATATGAAGGCGTGGTAGTGCCTACCATTATAAATGGACAGTGATACAACATTGTATCATGAGTATGAAAAATCCAGCTAAAGCTGTTAAAATAAATAATTTGAGATGCATTTGTAATGTTAGGGATATAGATGAAAGAATGAAAAGGTCATGGCAAGTTCTGGAGTTACAAAAATCAATATTTTGTAATCTTAAGGAAAAATTAATGTGAGTAGTTTAGTGTATGGAAACAAAATTTAAAGGTAATAAAGAAAGGCTAATATGCCTGACAACACTGCAAGTGCTTCAAAAAACAGGAATTAGGTGAGAATAGTGAACAAAGTGTCAGAATACTGCTAAATTAATTAAATTTAAGAGCAAACCTCTGACATTTTTTAAATAAATCACAGGCCTAACTAAATAACTTTAGATCTGGATCTATGGAGTATTGGGGAGATGCTTTGAATGTTTTACTATAGTGTGATGATGCTGATCCTGTGTGATGCTGCATCATGATGACATGTTTAATTAAGATTCTACAAATAAATGTGCACACAGCATTGTGTCCTGGGCTCAAGTAACTGTCATGTTATAGTATCCAGAACTACCCAAGACCGTGCTAGATAATAATGTGTTTACTGTAGTTTGTTAAAAAAGAACTCTTACCTTTTCTTGACACTGTTCAAAATGTTATCTTTACCCTCACTGCCAGTTATGCCTGTCAGCGACTGGTCTATTGTAGGTAGCATGGCTGTACTGGTATTGAAAAATGTTGACATGTTACTGGGTGCGAGTGAAGGATTGGTGGTAGGTGCTGTGGAAGGAGTTCGTTTGGAAGTTGATGACTGACCAGTCTCAGCCACCACCCGAGTGCCTGTCAAACTCAACGCGTTCTCCTCTGTGTCCTGTGTCTCCGATGCATATATCTTTAAACCCTGGCAAAAAAAAAAAAACATGCAAAATAATTTAATGTGTTGAATGTAATGAAATGCCCTTTCGTGGTGGGTTTCCAGAAGCTCCCTTAGTATGGCTCCAACATCACCGAGCTTTAGCTAAATACACCAGGCCTGCGAGATCCATTCTTGTCTACCGGAAGACAGAACCAGAACCTGTCCCACTCTACGAGGTGAGGGGGAGCAGGGGATCAAAAATGAGTGACCAAAATCTGACAAAAACCACACCAGGAACAGACAGTTTTGGGTTTTGGGTTAATCTCTAATCCTCAAGCTCCCTTCACTTCATAGAGTGTGCCAGATTTTGGTCCTGGCTTACCACTGGCAAAGATGAGTCTCAGAGGTTTGGTGTGATTAACTAAAGGCAAGGTAGTGGTTCTTCAACAAAAATTATAAAATCATAAATTATACACAGATTTTTTTCCAATAATATTCTAGAACCTTTATTTCCAAACATTTTAACATCAAAGTAATAGCAAAAACCTTTCACATAGCTTTGCAAGTACAATTTAACGATACATTTATGGACCAGCATTCAGCAAGTAGCACTAACTAAGGGGTGGGATTAGTTTGGACCATGAGAATCTTTGCAGGCTACAATATGAGTACTTAAGTAACTTGCATGGCTAAAATTATAGTACTACTACTACTACTACTACATTTTTCAAAGAGGTCAATTGGTACAGGTTACTTAGTACAGTAATTTGTTCTTTATGAATGGAAAGTGTGGATTTCCTGCTCACTAAGAAGAGTAAATTATTAATTATAATAATCAACAATATCATCATTATCAAAACTAACATTTTCCCACCAGATTATAATACAAAAGTATAACAAAGTTTCCTACATTAACTCACCTCGGTCATCTGTGACGCTGACGACCCAATGCGCCGAAGGATACTAGAAACCTTGAAGGCTGGATTGCAATGGCCACTAGTGTCAATGTATAGAATAGCTAAGCCAATGTCTGCCTCAGGTATGGCACGCAATCCATTATCATTTAGAATTTCTGAAAAGAATAATTAAAAGAAAGTAGTTACGCTTTAAACCATATGTGAAGTGTAGCTAATTGAACATTTAAAGTATTGATAGGAATATTGTGGTTTTATGGAATATAGTCATGTTAATAGCATATTATTAGGCTTTGAGTGAATGTGAAAACCTACTTTTTTCAATAGGGACAATTGGAGGCTTAATAAAGCAAGATCTATTCTGGTTCCCTTGCATTTGAAATTATCATAACAATCAGGGTAGGTTGAAGTTCTGCACCAAGCCAAATGGAAACAGTTCAGATCTCCCTGTTCAGTCATACTGGGTCTAGAGGCACTAAAGAAAAACTCATTCCAATTCAGTAATCTCAGAAAATAACACTCAACACTTCCAAGCCATATTTTACATCGCAGGGACTGCCAAGTAACTCGCCAGATTAGACTGCAACAGATCCGTGATGGAAATAGCCAATTCAACTAGCTCCAAAGCCGGCAAAGAAAGGTCATGCTCCAGAGACAGTCCTGCCACCCCACCCATCAACAAATATCCCGGAACAAGAGGCTGGAGGAAAAGCAGCCTGGCACACAATACCAGCTGGGCCAGAAGAGGAATGAGAAGGGGAGCAAACTTGGAACAGGTGTGCATCACTAAGTGTTCCATCTCATCGAAAAAACAGCATGGGCTGAACAAATCCACAAGGGCCGTGACGGCGATTTGAACCTGCGTCCGTATGTAATGATGTAAGGGCAAAGAGGAAGAATGGCCTATTGACATAGCTCGAGTGCAGGGGGGAGTTGTGTAAAACCCTGGTTTGTGCCTCGGAGAGGCTGCGGAATCCAGTAAGTTCAATAGAACTTCAGTTTCAACTCTTTTAACCCTGTCGTAGCTCAGTTGATTAAGGCAGTGTCTGGGATGCTCCCGGACGCAGGTTCAAATCTTCGTCACGGCCCTTGTGGATTTGTTCATTTGATGCATCACGTTAGTGTGATTTCTGTGTGTAACAGCATGGGCTCTAACCCCAGGGCATTCAAGCCAGTTCGGTATCACAAACAAAGCAACAGCTGCCTGATAAGCCACATGCTGAGAAAGGGGCATAGCTTAAGTAGATGTCCAGCAACGATACATGTCCGAAGCCATGAGATGGAAACACTCTTCCACCCAACAGGCCAAGCAAACACCTAACCCAAAAAAAAAAAAAAAAAAAAAAAAAAAAAAAAAAAAAAAAAAACACACACACAGTCTGCCCTAACCTCTGAGCCTTGCAGAGGAATCAAAGACCCATGCACTACCCAAAAGTAGATGCCTGCTCCTATCAAGGACAGGAGATCCCCTCCTACCCTTGATAGGAGGTGATCTTGAAAAAACAGACAAATGAGCCCCCCCCCCCAGAAAAATAACTGACCAGGTAAGGGCAACACCTAGGGAAAGGCATATTAAATAAATGTAGCTTGAGGTGAACCATTGACTGAATATCCACACAACAGTGAGGTAGGTAAAGAATATGCAAGACAGCCGTCACTTATCTAAGAAACTGAAACTAAGAAGGATGTTGTGTGGACAAGATAAAGATGGGCATGTTCAGGTGACAGCACCAGGAGCATGACTGACTGGGGTCACCAGCTGGTCCCAAGCTGCCAGGGGTCACCAGCTGGTCCCAAGCTGCCAGGGGTCACCATCTGGTGACCAGCAGGTGTAGCTAGCAATGGCAATGAGCTAACTACTATGGTCCTGGGTTAATAATATTTTCCTTGCAATTGTGTTTTGGAACACTGTACCTTTTGGTGGCATTTCCTCTTGGTCTGGGTTGATCTAGTATTCCCAGACTCCCTATGCCTTTATAGAGAGGACAGATTTAGTTTGTGGTCTGAAACAGGATGTAATGACTCGCAAGGGCCTGTTGAGACGTGATAAATGAAGTGCTACCCAGGTAGATAGCTCCAGGGAGCCACAGAGGATACCTCCCAGAAACTCGTATATCAACCCTTATTTTGGCATAGCGGTGGTCAATAAACATTCTGCCATTTGTCAGCATTGCATTGGAATAGGAGCCAGGTCCAGACACAAAATATTATATTATTTATTTTCCAAACAAAATTATTCAAAAGGAAGAAATCTGTATGCAAAAGTAAAAAGAAGACCAAAATAAATAAATAAATAAATAAATAAATAAATAAATAATGAAGATCTTTATTTTGGCTTAGACGGTGATGATGGGAGACCAGGAGCTGAAGGAAGTTTGATTCAAAATCATTTTGTGACCTGCCAAGACTGCTGGGAGATGTCATTGAGCTACTGTATTGCAACATTGGTATTCAAACAATGACACTGAACATAAATTGTAATATAATGATGACCACATTACACACACTAGCCAATCAGCACAGACCGACGACCATACTTTGAAGGTTATGTTAGTAACAAAATGTTATTGTACAGTGCTTCATATAATCAAAATATGAAACAGCAAAATATAGGTCTGGTCTTAATATTTTAATTAAATGACTTCAGCTTAGATATTAGAGTATATGCCAACATATATCTGAAAGGTGTTGATAAAAATACAGTATATCTGAGGTAACCTTACTTTCAGCAGTGTTGTAGAGGGTGTTATCATTAGCGCTCGACTTCTGCGTAACATTTTTCACCAAGCGATGGTTACCAGAGATCAACAATTTGTAATTTTTTTCATTAAGCTTCTCTGAACTGCCACCTGCAGATAAAAAATGTAAATAAATATTATATTTGATGAGAACATAAATAAAAATTCAATTTAATACAAGAGAGCAGTACATACTTCTTTCTCAGATTTATCAGGCAAAGTTAATTCATACTTTGTGGCATATGTTCACTTTGAGAAAATAAAAGTGCTATCTTAGGTACAGTTAGCAATAATCACTACCCAAGGTACCATCACCAAATGAAAATAAGAATCGGAAGCAAGAGTATAAAATTTCACCTTCCGGTGAAAAGTATGAAGCTCCCTTACCCGACAGTCAGCAGTTAAGCCAACAAAATGGCCTCTTTAAAGAGGGACTCTCCTGCAGCAGACGATACCCGAAAACAAGGAGAGGACAAAAAGAACAACTTGACTTTCTATCTAGTGACCAGAAAGATTCCAGAGGAGGAGAATTTGGCTGGAGGTGAAAGAGCGCCCGAGACAACTTGAAAAGGGAGGCCGAAGTTACATCCACTCCAAAAGTAAGTAAGAGAGGCCTCTCAGGTCCAATTATGTCAAAATAAGTTCAGAAGTCCCCTAACACACCATCACCACGGGCACACCATAGAAGGACTGATGGGAGGAATCCTGCCAATTCCCAAACCAGGGCAAATACTAAGATTGTGCCTGAAATAGCAGAACTACACTTGCCTGGGAAGCTTGTGACACAGAACGTCTACCGCATCCAGGAGTCTGAAAGCCCAACCATACAGCCACCTAAAAGCCAGAGCAGGAAACCCTAACTGAAACACTTGGTTAAAAAGTTGAAAAGTCGTACTCAAATTAACCAACACCTACACAACCACCCCATCAGGAAAAAGGAGAGGAAAAACTAGGCTACAAACAGCAGGTAAAAAGACCAAATGGACTCCTAGAGAGAATTCAACAAAGCAAACCAGCAAGTCCGGTGAACTGCACGAGAAGTCTATCACTGATCTTACAGCAGCAGTGTAAACAACTTAGACACAGCCTCTGAAGCAGTAGTAGCAGACCACAAAGCAATAACAGTGGGGTCCAATGAAAAGGATCCAAGACCATACCAAGTAATTGTCCAGTCTGCACTGAACACACACTCCACCAACCTGCCACATAACACGTGGTCCACCACAACACCCTTGCATACAACTTAGCAACTAGGACATGGAGCTGCCATAGCTTAGCATTTTAAAAGCACTACAATCACTTTCTGTGGTTGATTGTTCAATAAATCCCTGAACTATATGTTCAACAAATCTTTAACCCTGTCCATGGAGGACAGAAGAAAATGTATATGCTAGTTAGCACTGTAAATGTGTGGCCACGTCTGTGGTAGAAAATAATAATAAAAAAAATCACAATGGCATGCAGTAAAGTAAGTGCGTGCACGGTAATACTTAATCGCCTTGAAAATAGAACCCCCAGTAAAACATAAAACACTGAGGTGCTATACAAAAAGAAAAAGAAAATCCCGCAAGAGGACAATGTACCCAGGCGGAACAGAGCTGGCCGCTATGATTGGTGAAAACAAGCTGTGCAGTAACCTGCCTATCTTTATAGTTCAGTGACTGTGTATAGAAACAAAATGTGCCACTTAGCAAAAACATGGGGTTGGGGAATATGATATGATGGAAACATATAAAGGAGATGAACCTAGGCCATTGTGGCCTGAAAACACAATTTTTGATTAGCAGAGGAGGATCAAGCTCATACTGCAATGCATGATTGGAACAAGCATCCATTCAGGATAAAAAATCCTCTAGGCCAAACACTAGTCACTACAAAGGATCAAAGAGCAACTAAGGACCCTACAGATTCTTGGGAACCTGTAGGATGAGAGTCAGCATCATCCTGAGAAGAATTTGAAATATGGAACACTAGGTCCCCAAGGACAACCAAAAGAAATAGATGTGGAGAGGATAGAAAATCCTGCAGCCTATGTCAATAATTCAGACAGAGCAAACGTCCCATCTACCAGTGCCTGTAGATCCGTAGCCCTAAGTCATCACCACTAAGAGGGGGAACGAGCAAACCCTGCACAAAAGATCATTACCAACCTCTCCCCCAACAAAGAAATAAGATCTACAGGTTGTTCCGGCATATATTGCCGGAACAACCATGGCCATCTTCAAGAGAAAGCTAGATAATTTTCTTCAAGACGTGCTAGACCAACCAGGCTGTGGTGCATAAGTGGGCCTGCAGGTCACTCCAAGCAACAGACTGTTGGACCAAGCTCTCACAAGTCAAGCCTTGCCTCGGGCTGGGCTTGGGGAGTAGAAGAACTCCCAGAACCCAATCAAGCAGGTATCCCTCTCATCGAGTTGCGGGGGATACACTCGGCCTGTTGCCCAGATCCACAAGAGGCCACAAAAGACAGGATTAGGAGCCTTAATCTTATAATGTCGCTGACTGGTTAGCCGCTGACCGCAAAGATATCTCGGATAAAAAAAAAGAGGTCCATCAATGACAAACATTGCACACCTGAGGATTCCTGCACTCAACAGTCAGAATGTCGTAGCAGCAAGAGTGACCACCAGTAGCCAAGTGCACTGACTTGTACCCTGGAAAAAGGCACATAGTAGTGTCAGGTCTAGTGGCAGAAGAAGCCGTGCCTAACCACCAATAACTGGGCCTGAAGTGGGCAAACTGACCACCTGTCAACAAATGTGAAGGTATGATGGGCACAGGGATCACATCTCGATGAAGCATACATCAACTCCTGATTTTAATAGTCACTCAATGAGGAAAGGCATAAGCCACCAAGGACAGTAATAAAGAACAGGTGCATAAGTAACCAACCTCACCCTCTGCCCAAATGTCAAAAGGACAGCTCAAAAGAAGTGTGAGCAGCAAGAGGCTAGAAAACAGCACTCCCATCAACATACCCAAAGAAAGGCAAAAGCTCATGCACTGCCCAGAGGGAGAAAGCTTAAAGAGAAGACAGCCAAAACCCCATAAGAAAGATAACCCTGCAAGATGCATAAGATAAGATAAAAGATATGAAAGATAAGATGCAAGGTCAACACAAGCCATCAACCAGAAAAGATAACCCTAGCTATAACAGTTACAGAAATTAGTGATAATTGTGTTTTGTTAAGAAATTATAACTATCAGGATTTGACATTTCACTAGTTATTACCTAAAACAAGAGAGATAAAACCTTGTTATTAACTAAAAGCTATTAGTTAGAAGAATTTTAGAGCATGAGGTATTGTTACTGTATTGTAATCACACAATGAATCTATAAAGTAATAATTTACTCTAATATCACACAATAAATGGGTGGCTTATCAACACAATACCCCCGTCACAAATATTTTTATGCTGAACTCCGGATGGAATCCAGATTTTGCTTATAGGAACATCTGAACTTTGGATGGTTTCTAAACTGAATAAGATTTGGTAAAATCTATAACTCTTAGGTGGTGCCTGACTTTGGGTGCCTGGAGCATTAACCCTTAAAGTGCGCATCACGTCATATGACGTGCTGGACGTTGTTCCAGTAAACTGCGCATCACGTCATATGATGTGTTGGAGTACTACGCAAGATTTAAACAGCCCGCGGATACACGGGGTTCACCACACCTTCATCAGGGCTCTTGTAAACAGACGCCATTTTAAAAAAAAATCGTGGGCCAAACTCCCGGGTGTTATTGGCCTCAGTATTGAGTGAGCAACCAAGCCTGACGCACGCAGCATGAGCTAACAGCACTGCTGTTCAGCTTGTGACCACAGCATCGCCTAAAAATGCCAAATTATACTTGTTCATGCTATTATGTAGCGATGATATTATTACAGAAGACCCCTGACTGTGATAAAACTGACCAGGGTTCTGATAATAGCAGGATTGTGGTGATATCTAGCGCTGTGCGCCATGGAAGGAGGTGTAATGCTGTGGGAGGGAGGGTGGTAGCGATGTCTTTTGACTGTGTGTGGCCACCTTTTATTGACTGCACTCACCATACCAGCTTAGTGGTTCGCTATGGTGAACACAAATGTAGATACTTATATATAACGTGCGTATAGAGGGTATAAACAGCAAGAGAAGGTTTGGAGCCGCCATTTTGGTGAGGGCGGTGGCGTCGTCTGCACGACGCCACCGTGCAGACTACGGTGTTGTTTACTGGTTACCACGATGGTCTTTGGGCACCATACCAGTTTATTTGTACAAGTATGATGAAAAAAACAGGTAGATATTTATATATAATGTGTGTATATAGCGTAATAACACCACACAGTATTGTTGAAGGAGAAATATTAGTGCGTCTGGCCTTGAGGGCGGCCGCCGATCAGCTGACTGTGTGAGTAGCCACATCTCTGTGCCTTTACTAACCATACAAGCTTAGATGTACAGTTATGGTGAACAAAACATGTAGATACTTATATATAACGTCTGTATACAAGATATATAGCGTAATAACACCACACAGTATTGTTGGAGGAGAAATATTAGTGCGTCTGGCCTTGAGGGCGGCCGCCGATCAGCTGACTGTGTGAGTAGCCACATCTCTGTGCCTTTACTCACCATACAAGCTTAGATGTACAGTTATGGTGAACAAAACATGTAGATACTTATATATAATGTCTGTATATAGTGAATTATAGCAAAAACATTATTCTGGGAGGAGAATGAGGGTGAGTCAGATGACTGGAGGGAGGGCGGGAGTGGCTGGCTGGTACACGGCGGTCACTCCTCATTACTTTTTGACTCATAATAGCTACTTAGTGGTTCGTTATAGTGAACAAAACATGCAAATACTTATATATAACCTGTGCTTATAGTGTAATAACCGACAAAGTATTTGTTCACTGATTGATGAACATAATTGAATCAACAATATGCACACCATATTTTTGAGTACACCAACGATTCACTCATTTTATTATATAAATATATCAAACTACACACTATTGAATAATATTACAGCAAAAAAAGTATGAAAAATCAATCAGAGACATTGAAATAATTCGGTAATTATCTCTTTGTGGCAACTCTGGCCTGACAGCTTGCGAGCAACAGACCGCCTGGGACGCACGCTCAGTCAGCGCCTATAATTTGCCAGACTTCCCCGCCCTATAGCGGGCAATATATGCCACTTACGATTTTTTTATTATTTTTCCCGTGATCAGTAAACACAAATTAACAAGTTAGAAAGAAAAAATAATTTTTTTTTTTTTCAAAATGACATGCGCCTGTGGGGATGGCAGGATATTAAACCCCAAGCATGTTAAGGGTTAAACTGTATATCACAACAAACAAATATCACATGGAAAGCTTCCATAAAAATCTATATATAATTAACCTAATTAAAACTAGATATTGCTTACTAGGGGTACCTAATCCACATTAGAAGTCAATACATAAATCAGCCTACAGGTTAACAAACTGTACAATATACAAATAAGACAGTAATTACATCAGTAGCCCTTTGAAGCTTGATTCACCAGCTACAACCTTACTGTACCATCTGGCACTTCTCTCTGGCACTTGTACAACAGTGCCAACTCTTGAGCAGGACTTCCACAGTTACAGATATGAACACTTACCAATAGTAGTTATTGTTACTGTCTCTGCTACATCTTAATTGTAATAAGACATTTTTTGCCAGCTCTAATAACTTATGACGTAGATGCAGAAAATGTTGAATGGAAACACGCACCTGCTAAAGATATAGCCAACCCCATCCTCTTAAGCTGCTTTTCAGAATTAAATAAAAATGTTTGCCCACTCAACAATGACTTTCTCTTCTCATCAGGGGCAAAAGACACCTCTGTACTATTAACTGTCACCTCCTGAAAATGAATAAGAATCAATTATTCTTTCATCTCATGATGCGTGTACTTTAGAAGTTTGAATTCAGTTTCCAATGTGAAATTTAGATTTAGATTTGGAACAATACACCAAGTATGTATCAAGGTGCAGTTGACACCTTGACCATGTGTGCATTGTCAAGGTGCCAAATCACACATGACGTAGTAAATTACAGTCTTCCAAATAAACAGAGCTGTAACTACTGTGACATGGCACCGAGTACAAGTGATGTCTAAAAGAAATGTAGAGGGTAGTGTAGACAATGCTTTCTTAAAAATTATAAAATTTATGATGTAAACCAATACTAAAGCAGCATGCAATAATAAAATACACACACAAAATTAGAGTGCAGTAGTTGTGAACTTTATTCTGTTTGTGTGTTTCTGATATCCACTCCCAAGAATTTTTAATTTGCCAAAACCTGTAGCTGTCTCATTCCTTACTGTTCTTCTGGCCATTATCACTTCTTAAATTTCAGTCTTGCATTTACTGATGTTTAAATCTAATAACCATTTGTCTAACCACTCTTACAGCTTATTTAGGTTCTGCAACATTTTGCAGTCCCCCAGATGTTCCACTAATTAATATGCCTGGCAGTTTTCCCCGGTGCCTTGCAGAGATAGGTGGTCTGGGACACTTATCTATAATTTAATGCCTCCAGTCTGACTGCCTTCTTAAAAATGGATACAGTGCAAATCTGCTCAAACTGACTGATTCGTGTCAAATCCTGTCCATTACAATATGGGATTCACTGCACACAATGCCGACCTTTCCGAGTTGAGGGCCCATTGGTTGCTTCCGGAAATAGAGCAATTACAGTCCAAGGAGCCTACTTGTCGTAGGCTCTGATTACCTTTGGCACCAACATAATGGGTACCTTTGCCAATGGCCTTGTTTAAGAAGAGGAGAAAAGACAGTGGCGAGTCTATCTCAAGCAACCACAAAAAGGACCAGTTCCCTGTAATACAAGGGTGAGCAACACCCTTAACACCCCATGCAATCAATAACTGATAACAAAGAACACTCATTACATCTCTGCAGACTACTGATTAACCACTGTGATGCGCCACATTCATTGTGAAATTCTCCGTGTGTGCCAAAAATCAAGTGTTCGGGAAAAAGAAGTTCTTTGTAAATTGATAAATTCCGTTCCCAGAATATGTACAATATAAAAAAAATATCAAATTGCACTTACGTTGGCTGTGGGAACATGGACAAAGTCGTGTGTGACATCATTACGGGCAGATCACTTGTGCGCGAAGCTCTCGGAAGCGGTCACGCAGGCCGTTCAAGCCTCGCGAGTTGCCACCAATATATTATTATTGTAAACGATGCATATTTGTGTCCTTTACAATATGTATACAGTAGAACGTTCATAATGTTCCATGGAACTGTGATACACGTGTCAGTAATGTGTCCACAATAAATATTGTTTTGTGTATGAAAAATATGAGTAGTATTCTGTATAAAATGTATTTTTAAGTTAATATTTTGGGGGGATGTGGAACGGATTAATTCAATTTACATTATTTATGGGAAAATTTGTTTTTGTTTTGGTTGACAACGCGTCTCTGAGAACAGATTATGATCGTAAATGAAGGTACCACTGTAAACAGGTTCTGGATATAGCTTCCTTTCTCAAAATGAAAAAGTTTTGGGTTCCAAAAATAACTAACCTTTAATGGAGGTTCATATTCAGCAGGATTTGGATGAGAAGTTTTGTTAATTACAGCATCCAGCCACTTTGCAAAAAATTCTGGAGTCACTATGTAACGTCTGTCAGCTAAAGCACACACAGCCTGAAATGTGTTATTTTAAATTACAGCAGGAAGTGGCTATACATATTGAAAAACATACAATATATCAGATATATGATGTATCAGCTATCAGGTAATGATCACCATACATTTATACATACATGCATACATTAGCATTATCCCCATTTCCCACTTTTATGAAATGGGGAGGCATCAGTCTGAAGAAATAAAGTTTATTAATATAATCAAAGTAGGATATAGCTATTAAACATTATAACAAAACAAAATATTATATCATTCACAAAACTATTAAGCACCATATATAAAGTCCAGAAGTCACTAACAGCAGAAACTCTTCTCTTCCTCAGACCAGGTGTGCAGTCATGAATTGACTATTCCTCATGAATTGTTAATTACAGTGCATACAAATACATTTACAAACCACTTCCACCCAGCCTTGTCCTTAACCTAAACTTGTTTTTGTCCATACTCTCTCCCTGCTTCCTCACGCACACACACACACACCATGTCTGTCCACCTTTTCAGCCTTCTTGTTAACTTGAATACACGCTTATAATCAGTCTAACTTTATCCATTTGTTCAACCTCCTCAAACTATGTTCTCCTCATTCTTGCAGTTTATTGACTTTCACCCATCTCTCTGCAACACTTTTCATTCATTACGCTAGTCACTAAACACAGTACTTGAATTGTCCCATTTGTACTGCTCTAATGGTTGATATTTCAGGCTCACACCTCAACATTGTCTTATAACCATGCATTAAAGTTGGCACCACCACCCCTTCATGCAGATCTTCTGACTGCATCTATTCTCATCTTATTTTACCTAACAAGGGATTTCATTGCAACCACCACCTCCCTTCCCTGCCTGACCTTACTCTCAACTTCAACTGTACACATAATTCCTTCAGCAAATACACATCCCATATATATAAACTGACTGACTGCTTCTGCCACTCAATTCCCATTTATTGTACACACACAATCTCTCTCTCTCTCTCTCTCTCCAACCCCCTAAGTTTACTTTTGCCCACATTTTTGTTTAACAGTCTTCTCCCGTGCACCTCAATAACCCATTCAACTAATCCACACAATTGTTTCACGCTGCTAAAAGAACTGTATAATATGTATACAGTAATATGAACTGTATAATACAGTATATACATCAAATTTAGTATATTCCAATTGCTCATACCAGAATTAGGCCTATATGACTCCAAAGATGTAAATATATATTGAATAATGTATAGGGTGACATGACATCTTTCTGGCAGTATTTCCTCTTGGCCAAAGTTAATTTAGTTTTCCATGCTCCCTGTGCATCTCTGAGTGGGTCAGATTTTGTAACTGGTCTCCATAGGGTTTCTATGACTCACTAGGGCCTGATGGGACATGATACGTGTAGAGCTATCCAGGCGGCTAGCACCAGGGAGTCACCAAGGAGTCCCAGCAAAAATAGCAGAAAGCATAAGCGAAACAAAGCAAGTAACTGCTTAAAGAAAATTAGGTACCTGCAGGGAATGAGGCAAACAATCGTTGCCGTGTGTAAACACCTTAACTGTGATGTGCCTGACTGCCACCAGGTGGCAGCTCAGGTCGCCCGAGGTCCAAGCCAGCCCGGCCCTTCACTTACTCGCCAAGTTACAGCATGGAGTCTCATCCCTTTACGCAGGGAATGCAAATCCAAGTGCACCAAAAAGTGGTGGGTGTATAAAATATATTACCCATTAACATAAAATAATTGCAATAAATAATGTAAGTTATTGATGTTTAAACATTTTATTGTAACACCTGATAAGACAAAATAGACTCAACGCATCCAGTGACGTTTTGTTTCTGTCCGAGTTGTTTAAGCATCTCGACTGCGGTCTGGCAACTCTTACATCCTACAGACATCCCTGGTGATGGTTTGCCACCCTAGGAAAACTTCTTGTCTCAGTACTCCCTTTGTGACCAACACTCCCACAGACATCAAAATATTCTCCATGACAAAGATGCAGTGATACCACCAAAATACTGCATGCAGGATTTTGGATGAAGTGTTCTGTGTTCAGATCATGAAGTAGAATATAATGTAATATATAAAGAAATAATTGAGGTTGAAAGGAAAGTGTGGGGGCAGGGGATCGAGGTCTGGGTGCTAACAGGGACTCATGCCACCCTCATTCTGACCATGAATCACAATTACTTCCCACCACAGCTGGGAAGAAAATATCTCGTTGTTTTTCTTAAATATTTTTCAAGGAACTCCTATCACTTTGAAAATTTGGTTTAAAGTATTGTGATAACTGGAAATACAAATGTAGTTTATGGGTTAAGCATTAGAACAAAATAATGACACCAATAAGAATGAGAAAATAAAATGCAACGCATAATACTGAACAAATTAGGATAATATCATACAATAATAATAATACAATGCAAGAAAAAAAAATTGTCCCCTGGGCAATAAGAGTTATTTTCTAATAGCTTACACCTTCAGACTACAGAAAATGGCTATTATTTTCCCAAAACTTTGCTTTGAGCTCAAGACAGACAGCTTAGGGAAGATGTCTTGAAGGTACCCGAATACTGCCGATTCCTAATCTAGAACTGTGACAATTTATCTCAGCTCTAGGTACAAAGTCGGCAGGCTTCCAGTAACATTCAAGACATCTTCCTTAAGCTGTTTAAGGTAAAGCTCAAAGCAAAGTTTAACAGGCTTAATAGCTCTTTTCTATACTCTGGAAGAATTTAAAAAAATTTATTTAAAGTATTTACAAAGCCAATTCTATTAATATATACTCTAGGGAAGTGGTGAGTGTCCCATGATAATCTTATCTTAGCCATGACTATTACAATATAAAAATTAAAATAAAGTAATTTAAGTAAACAGCTAAAAATTATGAGAATCAGAGATAGTAATACCTTGACTGTGAATGTGATGTTGGTCATGACTAAGTATGTACACGAGTGATTCCATTCACCAACCATGTGGCCTCCCAGCTTGAGCAATGTATCTGTCAGCAAAGCCTTGCTATTTGGTGGCATAGATGATGATGCTACCACCAGGGGCCGGTATGCCAACCTAAAATATACAAATATTTGACACAAAATTCATTAACTTCTGTATCTGTTTCAAGAGAAAACTGAATGGCTAAAATATGAAAAGCATCTCAATTCACAAGTATTTAATTTTAAATAATAAGAGCAAATGTGATCAAATTCCTGCACAAGACTAAAATTTCTAAGCAAAAGATTGCAAATGCTTTGACCAAACACACTGCATATATTAAATTAACACTTTCGCGCTAACCGGACTCACCGGTGAGTCCTGTTTTGTCTAACGCTAACGCATAGTGGACATAAAGTTATGTCCTCTTTTAAAATATTTGTATAAAATTCAATTTTTATCCGATTTACTTTGGGTTTGTTTCAAACTGCGCGCCATGAGGCTCTCTTTCTCACCACTAGGCTGCATTGTACAATAAGTTCATGAAAGGTGTGGACCAATTCGATCAAATGGTATTATGTCCCAAACGGGTTGCAGGTGGGTGACTTTAGCCGTTTATACTGGTAATGCTTCCCCCATATCATGTATTATATGCATATGTCTGTTTAGGGAATTTTATTCCGATCAATGTACAACCAAAAATAACTGTGTGCAACAAGTATAAACTTGACAAACATAACAAAAGTAAAAACATTTCGTGTGTATTTGACGCTCACTGATATGTTCCAGCGTTGTTTTATATTTGGCGATATTCTATCTTACGCTTTGTTGATCTTTTTTACCTATGGGCTCATAGAACATTCTATTTCGAACACATTGACACAAAAATGAATGACGTACATAGAAAATTAATGTCATGAGAGTGAAATAAGTATAAACTTTCAAAGCGCCGTGCGTCGTCCCGTCACCGATACCGGGTAACAATTTCACCACTTCCCACACTCTTGCGGGCGGGCCGCATCATTATTCTACGCTTATATTCATATCACCGTGTTGGGAATTTCATTGCGAGTCCATTGATACCAAAATTAACGCTGTAGAACAAGTGTGGAGGTGATAACAATCCCAAGAGTAAAAACATTTTGTTGCTGTTGGGCGCTCACGGCGAGTCATCTTCGTAGTTATTTATTTGGTGCTGGTATCCCTATACGTTTCGTGACTTTTTTTACTGATGTTCTTCTAGAGAATTTTATTGCGAACACGTTGGTACCAAAATGAAATACGTAGCTCGAGAACTAAGGTCATGAGAGTAAAAAGAGTATACACATTTTTGTTTTTACGCTTACGCAGCAAAACGCTCTGCGCACTTACGGTTGGCTGAGTGACCTTCGCGGAGAGCGCGAAAGTGTTAAGTAATGAAGTGCAATGTTTCTAGAAAAAGTAAAAAAAAAAATTCAACATAAATCAAGCACTGACTAATGACATGCACTATCCAATGTGCCACTTGGTACCTCTTCTAGTTTAAGCACTGGAGCTTCCCGAGCCTTAGAAATCACACCAAACCTCTTAAATACACCTGAACTTACCAGGAATCAGGACCAGAATCTGGCTCTTTACAAGGTGAGGGGGGGGAGGGTTACTCGAGAATCACAAGTTCAGCCCAAAACTGAGAAAAAACACTAGAAGCAAAAACACCACAATCACAAGCAGATGCATGAAGGTAAGCTAAAGGATAATAAGACAAAAAAAATTTGCAGCTGGTAAAATACCACAGCTGTGATGTGTCCAACCCCCACTAGATAATGGCCCAGGCCACTGTGATCTGCATGAAACTGCCACCTCATACATCAGATACAAGCCTACACAGTAAACCAATACAACTGGGAAAGAAGGAAAGCTACTGAGTGGCCCCACCAGAAAAAGGATCTTTTATTATATTCAATGCTTGTTTTCTGGGAGGAGGTCACCTCAATATTTTCCCTAGTTAACTTACAATGGCACCTTGACACAAAAGGCCAACTTTTCTGAAAGATAAGCAAAAGAAGAATAAAACAGAAAAGACAGAATGGGCTGACCCATGGAAGGATGGAAGAAGATGGCACATGAGATGGGCCAGAGGCAGAGAAGCACGAGCACCAGCAAAATGTCTAAGCACCACATAAATGTTTCAAGGCCAAGGAACATCCACCAAGAACCAAGAGGTCAACACTGGTCCTCACACATTTAATAGAATTTCATGACCAGGTGACAAAGATTAAGCAAGAGAGGGGTGGGCAGAATGCATTTTCTTGGACTGTCAGAAAGCCTCTGACACAGTACCCCATAAGAGACTGGTGCATAAGTTGCAGAAACAGGCAAGTGTAACTGGTAGGGTGTTCCAATAGATAAGGGAGCACCTAAGCAACAGAGAGCAGTTACTGTGAAGGTGAGACCTCAAAATGGCAAGGTGTCACCAGTCAAGTCCCACAGGGTTACGTACATGGACTTATTCTGCTTCTGATATACAAGTATGTAAATGATCTTCTAGATAAAGACTCATTCCTCTCAATGTTTGCTGATGATGCTAAAATTATGAGACGGATTAAGACAGAGGAGGATATTAGGAATCTACAAGATGACCTGGACAAACTGAAGAACTGGTCCAATAAATGACTATAAGAGTTAAACTTGAGCAAATATAAAGCACTGTAATAAAGATAGGTGTAAAGTGCAGGAAGCCAGATACACGGTACCTATTGGGAGATAAAATCCTTCAAGAATCAGGGAGAGAAGGATCTGGGGGTTGATATCATGCCAGACCTGTTCCCTGAAGCCCACATCAAGAGGATATCATCAACAGCATTGGTAGGTTAGCAACATAAGAACTGCCCTTAGAAACTTGTGTAAGGAATCATTAAAAGCCTTGTATACCACACGTCAGACCAATCTTGGAGTATACAGCTCCAGCAGGGAGTTTGTATCAGTCAAACACAAGACTAGATTGGAAATGGTTAAAAAGTATGGTATCAGTCTAGTACCTGAGTCAAGGGTATGAGCAATGGAAACTAAACCTCATGTCGCTGGAAATCAGAATAATTAGGGAAGACATGATCACCACATACACGATTCTCAGAGGAATTGATAGGGTAGACAAAGATATTATTTAACACAGGTGTATCACACATAAGGGGATACAGGTGGAAACTGAGTACCCAAATGAACCACAGACATATTAGAAAAAACTTTTTCGGTGTCAGAGTAGTTAAGAAATGGAATGTACTAGGCAGTGAAGTGGTGGAGGCAGACTCCATACAGTTTCAAATCTAGATATGATAGAGCCTAATAGACTCAGGGATCTGGACACCAGTTAACCGACGGTGGAGAGACAAAACAAAAAAACTGAAGCTCAATCCCCACAAACACAATCAGGTGAGTACTGGTTGCCCCATCAAAAGAATTGATGGGCCTGTAGAATTTCCATCAAGAAATAAAAAAAGCGTCAACACTTCAAGAAACCAACAGCATAGAAAACTTTTAGCAGAGACCTGAAACCTACACCATCGGAAACCAGAGGAATTTCATTATACCAATGGAGAGTCATTGGCATACAGCCTGCAAACTCCCTTGCAGAATTTACAGCCTGAAAACAGCCTAGCAGAAACACAGCTTGGCAAAATCTGGGAAATACAGCCTCAAACAGCCAGGCAATACAGTATGGGAAATAGCTGGGCCACACTGTACAAAAACAGCCTGGATAAAGTCTGGCAACGCAGTTCACAAACAACCAAGCAACACCCCACATAAATCCAGGAAACACGGCCCCAAGAAACTGCCAAGGAATACAGCCCTGAAAGAGTCGGACATCCAGTTGGCCACACATCTTGGAAATAGCTGGGTGCTTGGCCTGAGAAGAGACGAGCACGTGGCTCTGAGAAGAGGCGAGCACGTGGCTCAGAGAAGAGACGAGCACGTGGCTCAGAGAAGAGACGAGCACGTGGCTCAGAGAAGAGACGAGCACGTGGCTCAGAGAAGAGGCGAGCACGTGGCTCAGAGAAGAGACGAGCACGTGGCTCAGAGAAGAGACGAGCACGTGGCTCAGAGAAGAGACGAGCACGTGGCTCAGAGAAGAGACGAGCACGTGGCTCAGAGAAGAGACGAACACGTGGCTCAGAGAAGAGGCGAGCACGTGGCTCAGAGAAGAGACGAGCACATGGTTTTGAGAAGAGACAGACATAAGGCCCAAGAAGTAATGGGAATATGGCCTGAGAAAAAATGGACAGACAGCACAAAAAGAAATACACAGACCAAGAAGAGATGGACATGCAGTCCAAGAAGGTACATGTGCACAGCCCAAGAAGAGTTGGGCACGTATCCTGGAAATAACTGGGTATCCATCCAGAAAAAGAGATGGGCACACATCCTGAGCCCATCTCTTTTTGGGGCTCAGGATGTGTGCCCTTTTCTGTTCCTTTCCTTTTCTGGGAAAAGAACACTGCCTGAAAAGAAATACACACACATTGCAAAAAGAAAATGGTACAAAGACTTGAGAAGAGAGGGGGTACAGTTCTAGAAGTATCGGAGACAGCTTCAGAAGGGACGCACAAGCATTTCTTGTCCAAAAATCTGAGTTATTTTTTGCTCAATGTTGCTATATTATCTAAGTGATGGACCCATTTTATTCTGCAACACTTGATAGGAACACTGGCAGATTAACTGAGAGGCTCTTCCTCATTACAGCTTTGTATAGGTGAATAAAGTTTGCCTTCGTGCAGTGACATAGTATTTAAAGTAAGTCCCTGATTGAGTAGCCGATTCATTAGCACATTCATTAGATATTCACCGATATATTATTTGATTTAGCATTTACTTTTACTTCGAAATAAGGCTATTTCAATATTTACCAACTTCCGAGATTGTTGTATACGTATCCTACTCTTACATATATTACAAATATTAAATAGCTTATCTTTTATACATACATTCTGGAAGACCTTATTTAAAGCATGACACAAGATCTTCCTTTTCTAATATCTTATAACATTTCTTTTAAATCTCATACAGTACTTTTTTCAAGGTATCCCGCTTAGTCGTTCCCAACTGCAAGAGGCTACTCACCTCTAGACAGGATTGATCATAGTCAGTGCAGGCCAACATTGTGCACTATGTACATACTTTATATATACAAGAACAGGTTTTTTATAGAGATCAGAAAATGTAGACTTTCCACTCTCAGACCAAGCACCCACTATAGTAATACTCTTCATATTATATAGGCTCTGACTGGTGCTGATCATGACAGGTATTCCTAAATCGGCATATCTCAAAAGAGTACAGGGGAATGCAATGATTATATAGTACAGTATGGTTCAGAAGCAAAGCCCTTGGTGCCAAGGCAAGATTTGTCTCCATTCACTTTCAAAAAAGTTACGAGTATATGATTTAAGTTTTGTACAGTTCACTTTAGCTTCATGATGTCCTCTAGTGTTCCCTAGTGTACTTCTGAAAAGATCTGAATGTTACAGTACTGCTACCTAGGCTGCCCTGCCTGTTTGCCTCATCTGTTTCCATAAATAGAACAAAACCTTATATTATGGGATAACCAAGTAATAGCTAAGAAAATATCTTTTATGTGAAAATTATATAGTATTCCTCCTACTCGATATATCTAATTAGTCTCCAAATAATGCACAATAGTAATTCCAAAGCTTTCAACATAAATGAAAAATTAACCAAAATAAGTAGGCAAAACCAGTAGATATAGATTTATCATTACATAATAATTAATAGTATTGCATTCTTACCTCCATGTGTTGGTAAGCATGCCAAATCTGAGCCTGTCCCCATCTTGCAGCACAGTTTTCGAATTTATAGCCAATTTTCTGTCGGTCTCAATTCCTTCATTCACAAAAGTACCGTACTTAGCTCCTAGCTCAGTAAGCTCAAACTTTGGCAATGCTTGTGGATTTTTCTGAAAAGTAATTTATAATATAATTACACACACACACACACTTTGGAATGCATTAGAAAGTGATGTGGTGGAGGCAGACTCCATACACAGTTTCAAGTGTAGATATGATAGAACCCAATCGGCTCAGGAACCTGTACACCAGTTTATTGATAGTTGAGAGGCGAGACCAAAGAGCCAAAGCTCAACCCCTGCAAGCACAGCTAGGCGAGTACAACTAGGTAGGCACGAGGAGTTATGAGGAGCGACTAGAGGCATTAAACATGCCAAAACTAGAAGATAGAAGAAAAAGAGGTGATACGATCATCACTTACAAAATACTAACAGGAATAGACCAAACTGAGAGGAATTCTAACGTCCTCGGGAAAGACAACCACTGGTGGGTGTCACGTTTCACTCATGATGCAAGGGACGGAAACTCAGCCACAAGGTCACAGTTGCTAGGGAGATATGGAAGGATGGAAACAATGTGGGAACCATACTCGTGAGTGAAACATAAAGCAAGAGAAATTCCTGGAGCACAGACTGAAACAGTCACAAAGGTAAACCATACAGCTCTTACTTAAGAACTTGAAAATAGCAACAGGGTGCATGTCAGACACGTGTCAAGCAAAGACTGACGTCTTCCTCCACAAGACGTGTGTGTCACCTGGTGGCAGCAAGGGTTATTAGTTGGTATTGTAGTGGTTCTTTACTTTTCTTTAGATTTAGAGTGACTCTTGGTGATTTTCAAGACATCAAGATTAGCTTGGGGGGGTATTAAATTTATTGAAGATCCTGTGTATTAATGAGCGAATTTACCTTGTGGTAGATTAGGTAGGCTCTCTACCGAGCTCCATTTACAACTGGGACAAGACAATCAGCAAGTGCGTACTTGTCTCCTTGGAGTTGGAGTCACTCAAATCCTGGAGGTCCATTGTTGTCCTGACAAGTCTAAAGCATAAGGTTAAGGGAAGCTTGCTAATGAAAGTTAAGTAATATTATAAAACAAAATTATAACTACAAAATGAGAAAACATTAAAAATATCATTTATTCATTCCTTATTCAATTCACAATATACAGCATCACAAATAAACACAAGTGCTACCAAACTGAAGCAGTGCATAGCAGTAGCCCACTGCTTCATAAGACCACCGCTTCATAAGTACAGTGTGTCTTGAGAGTTGGCATATAAATTGCAAAGACACATTGACTATCATCTTACAATTTACCCACAGCAAGCCATGTGTCTTAGTATATCTCGTGATGTCTACACTTACTCACCACATCTGCCCACTGTCTTCCTGGCCTTCCTCTGCTGCTCCTAATCTCATTTGAATTCACTCTCTTCACCAGTCTACCTTCATGCACTCATTCCATAAGCTCAAAACCTTTCATTATGCTCGCCTTGCAATTTACTGAACTTTGCACTCACATCTATCCATAACAATTATTTTTTACTCTATTCTCCTAACACAATACATTCTTCTAAGTTTGTCAATTTCTATGTCTCTAACTCTAACTTAATTTTTTACATACATATTACAGTACGCTATTGCCTGGCAACCATTACAGTTGTCGCCACCATTCCTTCATGCAGACCTCTGGCTGTGTATTCCCATTTCTATCTTTTTCCCAACAACAAGTTTCATTATACCAGACAGTTTCCTTCCTTGCCTATCCCTACTCTCAATTTCGAATGCACAAATACCTTTTCTAGCCATCATTTATTCCAGGTACTTAAACTGACCAATAAATTCCAGCAGTCCACCATTGATATTTAATTCCACACACTTTACCATTAAACAGTATAATGTTTTAAATTTATTAATATACAGTAGAATATCATAGAATCTGAACCTAAAAATTCTTTTTGCATAAAGCTGAACTGCTTATTAAAGAACAAATGAAAATTTACTTTTTTATTATTATACAATAATACTGTGTTAATAATACACTAATATTATACATAACAGATTTGCTTTAAATTAAGTGTGCACAGTATTGTAGTGTCCATAATCAAATTATAAGTACAGTATTTTAATTTTGTTTGGGACTTAAATCTGGGTCCTGAAACGCAACCTGGTTTTTCGATACAGTAAGATCGTTTAATAAAATACTATACAGTATGAATTTGTAACAGTCTTAAGAAACATATCTCCATTTATAATTATAAATCTAGTGTATCCATATTTGGAACCATTAGATCTTTTGATATTCATGAATCCCATGAATTAATAATTTATTTATTGCATCAGACAGAAAATCAAAGCAACAAAATATATCCATGAGCTCACCAAATTTTCAACCGAGTGAGTGATGAAGATGGCAGCATGCTGTCGACTGATGGACTTGTCACCCTTGAGAAGAACATGACCCTCTTGTCGGCTAACCATCAATGGTGTTCCACAGTATAAGTATCGAATGTCTTCTGTTAAATTAAAGTTACTGTGTTAATGATTAAAGTATAAAAGAATGTGTAAATGGGTACAAAATATATTATCATCATTTTACTATTTAAATGAAATACAAATACAATTAAAAATACGATTCTAACTGTACAGTATATATGATTTCAATGATAATTGGCTTTGCAGTGAAACATTAAACTATTACACTATACTTTGCAACCCTCATATGATATATTATTGCCTGCAATTTACTTGCCAAAAATGATGGCTTTTAGGTTTACCACACTAGGTATCTTTGGTTGCTAATTTAATGTCATAAGGAAATATTACTGCATACCCTAATTGGATCATTTTCAACCCAATGAGTAAGTTATTCCTAGTCTCTATGCCAGATATATCTTACAATACTGTACAAATATTATAAATATTCATAACACAAAAACGCCACCATCTCACCTCCTGTACATACCGTACATTTTAAAAGACGGTTATACAGAGGGAGCGAATAAGAATGGGCAGTTGTGGTTGGGTAGAGTGGGAAGGTGTTGGTAGACTAACTGAGAGCGTGGGTGGGATTCATGTGTTTGGAGTGAGGGTATGGGCATTTGAAAAATGGTAGTGGGGCTATCAGGTGTTGTGCAGGTGGTTGAGTATGAGTGGGTGGAGTTAGTACTGGAACACTGGCAGCCACCATAGAGTATATCCAACCACTTACATGTTTTGGTTAATACTGTATTATAATAAGTATGCCATCTACAAACATCATTATGTCACTGAATAAATAAATGGCTCTTTTACTATACATACTAGTGGTATTTTTGTGGTATTACAGTGGAACCTAGAGTGACGAGCGACCCCATTTACGAGCATTTCGAGTAATGAGTAAGCCACTCACAGACAATTTGTCTCGAATGACGAGCTTTCGCTCGATTAACTAGAGTTCCCGCTGGTTCTCGGACACCTCTGACGACAGTGTTGCTGTTGTTGTTTCACAAGACGAGTTTTCTACATGACGAGCTCGGTGCCGGAACAGATTAAATTCGCTAATCGAGGCGCTGCTGTATTTGTATATACAATTTGATTATCAATAACTTGCGTAAGGAGAATAAGAAGCTGATAAAATATGAAGGTAATTTTATATTCATAATATTTAAGCTGTGATTCACTATGGTCAACTATACATCCCCACAGATCAATATACTGTACAGTGTATATATTTTTTCCAATGAATTGTAATATTTTAATAAGAAATATAATGCAAATATTGAAAAGAGAGAAGCACTACCTCTATTGCCAACACATATGGAGGTAGCTCATACACCAGAATTTAATTTTTGTTCATTCACATCCCACCAAAGTTTGTTTATACAAATTTAATCCACGTAGTGTAGTAAATACAACTAATATACGTAAAGTTGTTTATTTGGTCTCATGATCTAATAGCTCCTTTTGACGTTTTAAAACACAGATGTCAATCACTTCTGATTACCTAAAAGTTATACAGTACAGTACTATAAAATTGACTAAAGTGAGCATATTCAGTAATAAAATCATTTAAAATGTAATCAATATGTACTATCTTCATCAGGATATTAGCTGCCTTCTGGATTTAGAACATCAACTGCAGTGAACATTGCAGATATTAACAGTCCCTTTTTAAACAAGTGACAATCAGACTCTGGGGTGTCATTACAGTTATGGCTAAAACAGGTGATTCATACATTTTATTTAAATTTACAGTAACAATATTTAAAATTTTAAAACTCATATGCTCCAGAAGGAAAACAATCATTGTGGACGCATGGAACAGAGATAGAATATGAAGAATATGTTGGGGTACACCCTGTTCTCAGTGGAACAGGGGTGTATCCCAGGGGTGTATCCCAGTGAAAGAGGGGTGTATCCCAGTGGAACAGGGGTATATCCCAGTGGAACAGGGATGTATCCCAGTGGAACAGGGTGTATTCCACTCGAACAGGGTGTATTCCACTGGAACAGGGGTGTATCCCACAGGAACAGGAGTATATCACAGTGGAACCGGGTGTACTCCAGTGGAACAGGGTAGACCTCTGTGAAGCTGCCGTTTAAGGCAAACACGGGTGTGATCTTGGACCAGGACCAGAGACTCTTGTTACACGACTTAATTAACCTAAGACCCCATTCACGCCAAACATCTGCCACCTACGGGCTATACTCAAGCCCGTGCCACTTCATGTGGTGACTGAAATCTTCAATCATCAATCAGTCGTGATCTTAGAAAGCGCTGCGCCAACACACTTGATAAACATCACTAAAAACAAGACGACCGCTGGGGAAGGTGCTCCACCGCCTGTAGGAACGCCTTGAGCACTTGCCTACCCTCCTTTAACCACCTAATGTCCTCACTAACAATCACTTTGCAGGATAACAGTTACCTGGATTGGTCAGAGTACTCTCCAGCGTCCACATCTTTGAGAGGCCCAGGGAGGCGAGGGAGCGCGGTCAGCCCGCCACCTGTGTATCACAACACTGGCGAGCCCGGTGCTATATCCACCTCACATACCACTCATTTTCATCAACATAAATCCCTATTTTTTATTGTTAAAACTAAAACATTTTCACTTACAAAACACTAATTAAGTTTCTTTTTAGTATTCTGGATATATTTTGTTATGTTTAATTACCAAAATCATTTAAGTATACGCATAAAATGTATTTTTTATCTAAGTTGTAAATACAACAGGGAATTTTTGGCTGGAACGTATTATGAACACGTCTGATTTGTACTGACCTTATTATAGGACCCAGCTGCAGCTCCTGGGCCCCGACTTTCCACCTGTTGGTTATCTACTGCAAATAACCAAACCACACACCAGAAAATGGAGAAGCGACGACGTTTCGGTCCGCCTTGGACCATTATCAAGTCGTATGTGATAAGACGGACCGAAACGTCGTCGCTTCTCCATCTTTGCAGAGGTCACGACCTCTCCGCAGGGTGCAGTCGCTCCTCTACAGATCTCCAGTATCAGCTAATGATACTGGTAATGGCTCCAAAGGGCCACCACTTACGGGCTATTCATGCCCGTGCCACCTTTTGGGTGGCTTAATCTTCATCAATCAATCCATCTTTGGGTGTGTGATTTGGTTATCATATCGTCAGCCTCGTTATTGTGACTCTTTGTCTGCATACTGCAATGACCTTCGACTCTTTTCATATTATATTATTATTGTGACGGTAAAGTGTTGGAGTGTTGATGTTCGGCAGGTTCAATGGCAGGGGGCAATGCCTCGTCACATTTACAGAAAAAAAAGAACCTCCTGTTTGTCTGTGGTAAGGTAATGGGAAGACACACAAAACACAAAGTATAAACAATGAAATTTTAATTACTCTAGAAAACAAGATATGAACAAAGACAATCCCTTGGCTTACGTAAAATTCAAAACAAGTCAACAAACAAAACATGAATAATTAATGGCTGTAAAATTTACTCTAAAACAAAATAAAGTGCAAGAATAATAATAATATTAATCAGGTGCTGAGAATACTGGCTTAAGCTGCCACCTTCCTTAGTACACGACAGTCAGAGTTTTGTCTACTAGAGAGAGATGTCAACTCCAAAGAGCACAGAGATATTCTGAGGAGTACGGCGTGTGCTGGCCCAGACGTCGACCCAGGTAGTGGGCGTGAGTGCAGGTGCGGCAACACACCAGCCAATCAGGAGCAGGCAGGCGGAGAATGGGTAGTTTGCTTGTTGACGGCGGGCGGGAGCCGGTGTGTCTGGTGGTGCAAGGTACGCTTTGCTTCCTGGGCAAAACGTTTGGCGATACTGGTGGACGTATCTTCAATATAGTATCTTGTACTTGAATGACGTGAATTATGTAGGGAAGAGCAGGTTCAATCTCTCTTGAAAGAGATTATCATCACATTATACATTCTTCATATTATTGAATATATTATATATTATAAATTATTATTAGCGAATATATTTATATTCATAATATTTTTTAATATTTAATTATATATACTTTTAATTCAAAATTTTCTACAATAGTTTTTGTAACAATTTTAAGACTATTGTTCCAACGAATGCAGCTAACTTTGGCAAGGGGGGCGGGGTGGTTGCAAGGACTACAGCTCAGTTAAGGGGTTGTTGCAAGGACTGCAGCTTAGTTAAGGGTTGTTGAAAGAACTGCATCTTAGTTAAGGGTTGTTGCAAAGACTGCAGCTTAGTTAAGGGTTGTTGAAAGAACTGCACCTTAGTTAAGGGTTGTTGAAAGAACTGCACCTTAGTTAAGGGTTGTTCCAAGGACTGCAGCTCAGTTATGACTGGATGTTGCATGTAAATCTTTCGGAGCACAAATATGCAAGTTATATATATTTGGCGGTGCTACCAGTCCTTTATGTTCACGTGTCCAGCTGGAAGGTCGACAGTTTTATTTGTAAACAACAGTGATTAATAAGTTATCAGTCAGTTGCTAGTTCTCCGAGGCTCATTTGAGCGGTTTTCCTGATTTCCTACGACGTGAGACATATATATATATATATATATATATATATATATATATATATATATATATATATATATATATATATATATATATATATATATATATATGTTTTATCTCTATGTATGTAGCTGTATACATGTATGAAACATGTATACAGCTAATGTATGCATATCTGCACATGCATGCACAAGGGTGAGACATACTACCAGACAATTGTATTTATTTATTTTCTAAAATGACTCTTGTTTACTAACAAACAAAACAAAACAAGGAGAGTACTCTGGTTTACTCTCCCACAAGCAAGTCTCTACTGGCCGAGGTCCCAACTATAAGTATTCTGGGGCCATAACAAATGTATGACACTTTTAATACCAATAATTTATAGGTAAATCCTAAATAATTTAGCTAAATATAGCTCAAATTTAGCTAAATAAATAGTATAGTATATATGTGCCTTCGTACATGTGACCGTACGCACATGTGTGCCTGTAACCTAATGACATAAACGCTAAGCCATCACGACTATCTACCATCACGACCACGATTACCTTATCCTCATATATGGGAAAGGACGGGGAGGAGGGGAAGGAATGGTGCCCAACCACTTGGACGGTCGGGGATTGAACGCCGACCTGCATGAAGCGAGACCGTCGCTCTACCGTCCAGTCCAAGGGGTTAGGTTAATAACAATAATAGTGATACACACAGAGAGTAATCACACTAACGTGACTGCATCAATGAGAAAATCCGTAGGAGTCATGATTAGGATTCGAACCTATGCACTGGGTTCCTTCAATAATAATCTGGATTTTCTCAATAGTGATCTTAAAAACCACATCTACAATAGCAACAACAGCAAGAGGCAACAGCAATAGTAAGAATAATAGTAATAATAAAACCGAAGAAAATAACAATAATAATAATAATTTAATAGCACTAATAGCAATGCTAATGTAATCAATCAATCCACGAGATATATTAGAATGATATTTAATATATTCAGGTTAGTGATGATGCTGGATGTTGCTTGCGTAACTAATGATGCTGATGATATTGCACCTGTTGCTCGTATACAATGGGAAGGTGATTGATTGATGAAGATTAAGCCACCCAAAAGGTGGCACGGGCATGAATAGCCCGTAAGTGGTACAATTTTTTTTTCTCCTATTCTGAGTTTGCATTAACCATCAAGCTGTTATCAGGGGAGGATACTGCTTCACAGTCTTTATGAGGTGTCCAGCTGCTGAACACCTTTGTTGACCAGGAGAGTGGCTGTGTTGATGGCTTCAGGGTGGCCACTGCATGATTCAGGAACTCTTAATGGGAAGGTTGATAGTAATCTTATTTATTGCCCGTGCCTTCGTCTCTCCCACTTACGGGCTATTCATGCCCGTGCCACCTCTTGGGTGACTTAACTTCATCAATCATTCTCTCCCTCACACACGACTTGATAATGGTCCACGACGGACCGAAACGTTGTCGTTTCTCCATCTTCTGATGCATGGTTTTGTCATCATATCTTCAGCCGTCACATTAAACGGGTCCCGGTAGTACAGTTGGGCTTCTTCTCGACGCACAATTGAAAATTCCAGGAAATGCCGGGCGTGACATAAATGGTTGGGCACATTTCCATTTATTTTAGAGATCAAGAATGTTTGATCTCTAAATCAAAGCCATGTTTCACATTATTGATGCAATCGTGTTATGAATCTTCGGTGTTGAAGATGTTGATTGTTGTGTATATGAGTGACGTATTGAGGTGGGAGTATGGGAGAGGGAGGCAGATAAGGAGTGTGGGGGAGGGAGGCAGATAAGGAGTGTGGGGGAGGGAGGCAGATAAGGAGTGGGGGGGAGGGAGGCAGATAAGGAGTGTGGGGGAGGGAGGCAGATAAGGAGTGAGGGGGAGGGAGGCAGATAAGGAGTGTGGGGGAGGGAGGCAGATAAGGAGTGAGGGAAAGGGAGGCAGGACAGGAATGAAGTAGGAAAGGTGCAACGAGAGGAAGGCGCAGGGAAGCAGTGTGGGATTGAAGGGCGGGGAAGGAGAAATATAAAATGGTTCCGTAAGCGATGTTAGCTAAATGTCCATGAATTAAGGCAACGAATTATTGTACGATGCTGTCAGTCGTTGCTGCCAGACGCCGCTGTCAAACGACTATTACTCGGGCTGGAGTGTGACTTTGTGAAGTGAGATGACATCAGACGACTTCTTTACCAGACCTAAGCGCTATCATACGTCTTAGTGACGGAGAGATTGTTCCAATTAAATCACAAAAATTTGTACTTACACATCTTAATATACTTTTCGTATATAAATAAATAAAATAAATAAATAAATTAATATAGTCAATGTTGCCATGCATCAGACAAGAGGCTCCTGAAGAATGAATCACTCGACGTTGTGGACAGCGAAGGGCAGGAGGTCGAGGGGCGCCACCGTGCACTTGGAGTAGCGCTTTTCACAGTTGCCATACAATTTGCCGGCCAACTCAGCAATGATAAATTGGTCGAACTCCTTCCTCTCCTCCTCCGTGTCTCCTCGACCTGCCAGCGACGCTCTGTGCAGGATTAGATGGGGATTTAGGCCTACACCAAGTACTTAAAACAAACAGGTTAATCACTACTTAATTAAATCATGAGAAATGATCTATAAGTGTTTGGTGAAAAGTGAAGGAAGTTTAAGGACGTAAATACATTACTGGAGAGCCGCCGATGAAAGAATAGTTTGATTACATATTTTGCTGGGACGAGAATTGGGGGGATCCGTGAGTATCTAGGTACCAATCGAAAAGTGGATTTGATTACTTTACATACACAATATAATTGCAAATGAAGTTGCAAAAACGGCAACTGAGAGGAGAAATGGCCCATAACGTCTAATACAGATTAAGAAAACAACCATAACTAAAAATGTAGAACATTTACACTAACCATCAGACAGCAACTGCAACGTCACGGAAGAAATTTTTAATGCAATGGATATAACCTCACTGAAGTCATCATACGAGTCATAACACATATAACAGGTGTACAGGAACCTGTACACC